TATGTGTGTCTGTATATATGAAGCTGTATTTTGATTTACACCTGTGCATGTGCATAAACATGCATGTTACTCAGGAAGTGTCAGAAATGTTGGCCTGTTTTACCACTGATGGTTCTGTTCTTCCTGGTCTTTTCTGCTTCTGAGTTTAGGAAGTTATTTCCCAAAAGTGTCCGTGATACTTAGGTGTATTTGAACTCCTGGATTAACTGAATGTCATGGGTTTTTTTCTTGCCTTTCAGCTTTGAGTAACAGAGTACAATGAATCCAAAGTAATAATTTCAATGGCAGTATGACAAACAGGTTCCTGTCAATAAAGACCTAAAAGTCTGTTTTTAAAGAAATGGTGTCACTGCTTTAGTTGTATATATGGAGAAGTCATCACAGTAGCTTTGCCACTCATTATCACCAATTAGTTACAGTTTGTATTTTGTCACTGCTTTACTTGTCTACTGCCATCTCTTAAGTCCTGATGTGTTGCAGCCTGAATTGCTGCTAGTAAAGTCCCAGGTAAAGAACCAAAAGGGCCTTTGCATAATATCCGTAGATGTTTAATTCAGCCGTGCAGTGAGATGTTCAGGTCCCAGACAGACACACCTCCAGAGGGTCCTGCTCTCTCCCCCCAGGGGCCCCCGGGGCTGACCTTGGTCTCCGGGCTGTACAAAGGCGAGACTCAATCAGGGAAAAGGGAGGGAGTGGCTCAGGAGCAGCTATGTTCAGACATAAGAACAGGGGAAGGAGCCAATGGGGTGTAACTTAGGAGATGCCCCCCCCAGGGCCTCCACAATTCCCCAGTTTTTATGTTATTAAGCTTTTCTGAAGGATCAACCGAATCAACACAAAATGACAAAAACAATCAAAAGCATCCATAAGACAATTTTCAAAATGCAAACAATTCTGGGTCCTTAATGTCCAAACAGATTTTCTGGAGTGTGTTAGAGCTGGCAGGAGGGATGTGGGGTTTTCTTAGCATGATTTATCAGGAAAGAGAGTCAGGAGATTTCTTCAGCAGAGACTGTTTCTCTGTCTCCTGTGGTAAAGTGGTTGGATGTGATAGACTCTGCACAAGATAGTGTAGGTGATGTTGTGCCTGTTAGAAACTCCAAATAGAAATCATTACTTTAAGAAAATGATGGTTACTTTAGGGAAACTTTCCTTTCTTTCCCTCCTCATCAGGCTCCCTCTGGTATTATGAAGGAACTCTGGGGAAAGGGATTAGTGGAGGGAGACCGTGGAAGAGGGGAAAGGGTGGCTGGAATTTGTGGGAACATGAAAAGGGGTAATAGGACAATGGAAAGGAAAGGAGGAAGATGGGAGGGAGGCAGGAAGGCCACAGGAATTGGGGTATAAGAAGAAGTGGAACATATTGGACTGGAAGGTTCTTTCATTATCAACCTGGGGTTTTGGATGCAGGACAGCTCGCCAGTGTTCTGTGCTCTTCTTGCTTTTAGGCTATGGCTGGGGCTAGGTGGTTGGTTGTTTTGGGTTCTATGTCCTTGGTAGGTGTGTGGAGGACTTCTATGATGTGGATATATTTCGTATGTTTGCAGTTTGGTGCATGTTTACTACCTTGCACTGGAACTCCACCACGTCCCGTCACATCAGCTGCTTGGGGGCCTTTTCTTCCTTGTATTACATTAAATTCCACAATTTCTCCATCTCCTAGACTGTGGAGGTATTTCTTGGGATTATTCTTTTTTATAGCAGTCTGATGAACACCTTTTTTGTTATCATTCCCAGGTTATGAAACGGTATTTGTTTTTTACTTTGAACCATTTCACTGTCCCCAAAATGTTCATGGCAAGGACTTTTTACCTTTGCCAGTGGGTTTGTGTTGGTGTTTTTGGATGCGTTGCTGGCGTGCTGCCATGCGAAGCGCGTTCTGCTCCCGCTGCTGGTGGCCACGCTGAGGCCTGGCCCTCTCTCAGGGGCTGTCTCAGCTGGTGCCTGCGGGTGCTGCCAGTGCGGGGCTGTCAGAGCAGTGACGGTGGGCAGGGGCTGCTGGTTTTGCTGCCCTGCCAGGACTGTGACTCTGAGCCATCCCCCAGCGGGGCTGTCCACCTGCCCCGTGACAGCGGCGCCCCAGGTCCACTGGTCTCACTCGCCTGCCCATGGCCCCCGTGCAGCAGGCTGCTGTGGGGCGGGCTGGACAGTGAGTATTGGCTGGCTCGCCCTGGCCTCGCTGAGCGCTGGCAGGGCAGCCACGGGCTTTCCATGGGGGGGAGAGCTGCAGCGGGTCACAGAGCGCTGGCACGCCAGCAGCCCTGTGCGAGGGGATACAGCTCTTGCCACCCCTGCCACATCTTGCTGTGCTATAGCAACCGAGGTAAACACAGCTGGAGGAGGCGTGGGGAGCAGAGGGTGGAAGGGGAGACCCCTCGGCCCCTGCCATGTGGTCTTCACCATCTTGGGCAGCAGGAGTACAGAGGGGAGAACCTGGGGGAGTTTTTCTTTGTGACAGGGGAAGGGGGTGCAGGGGCACGAAGAGGGGAACACGGAGGAGGGGTTTTCAGCTGGTTTTCATCCTCAAGATTCAGAACACATTTCATCATCATATTAAATAAAGGACAGAATTCTGTCTTCGTTTTTAACCTTTCCCAAAGTACTTCCAAGAACTCATTAGTTAGGACTAAGTTCCGTGAAATATAAGGAAAATGCTTAAATAACCACTGTACAAAATACTTCAACTCCTCCTCTGAAAAGCAATAATTTTCTTAAAGAAAAGACTTTTTAAGGTAGAGGTAAACTTCTTGTTGTGCATGGGTGAGTGTTGTCTCCATCTTTGCCCAGTCTCTTCCCAACACCCGAGAGTACAAGGAGGAGCCAAAATTTTAAACTCACCTCACTGGGGTAAGAAAATTTTCAGGGTGGTCTAGTGCAGATGTTTTCCCAGGAGAAGAGGTCTCAGGCTAATCTGGAGGCCTCACGTTGGGTGCCAACTGTGTTCTGGTCTCTCTGAGTGCCACTGAGGGAACCCTGGCCAGGCCCGAGATGGTGAACAGTGGTGGGGGGCACTCTCCTGTGCCCCAGGGGGGCGGAAGGCAGCTAGGCTGACTGCTTGCAGCAGAGGAGATGCTGGAACAACGGCAGAAGATGAAGGGTTTGACTCTTAGCAGAGGTTAGTCCAAGGTTTATTTCAGGAGCTCTGGGGAGCCCCTACAACTGCAGGGGCCTCCTGCTGAGAGGCCCGGGAGTGGTGCCAAGGTTACATTTAAAGGGAGGTGGAAATGTAAAGTAGATAACATATTACGAACCAATAAGAAAAATTAAGGTATGGATACTGGAAAATGGACATTTAGGACAGCATATGGGGTAACTCTTGGGGGGTTGACTCCTAGCCTCTGGCTAATCACTTGACATCCTGGGCTGAAAGTTGTAGATGGAGGGGATGGGATGCTGAGTGACTGACAGAAGGCCAGGGTGGTGATTTGGGGATGATCTCAGCAAAGGAAACGGATTACACAGGTAGAGGGAGGGGGTGCAATCTGGGGGTAAACCATTTGGGAAAAATAAGGGGATACAAAGACAAAACCATTATAAAACATAAAAACACACTACAACTCTGATGTACCAGGCCAGTCTTGTTACTGCACAAATATAGAATCAAGCTTTAAGCTAACATCTAATATTCTGCAATTTCTTATGTAAGTAAAAATACTACTTAGCATTAGCTTCTAAGTAGTATTTTTACTTACATAAGAAATACACCACATGTTCTCAGAACAGATACATGAAGTTTCATCTGCCAACCTGAATGAGAAGTGATGCTGCCCTTGTCTTTCTCTCTGCAGCTGGACCGTTAATGTTTTGTCAAGCAGCACAAAATTTCATGCTTTTGCTAATCTACAAAGAAGCATTCACAGAGTATAATTCCTTCTTAGTGGTCTTGTTCCCTGGTTTGCACTTTCCACATGCCTGATAAAGCACTCACAAATACAGTTACATGTGTTAACTCAGAGACAAAGAGCTATGGTTTGGTATCTGGGGGAAAAAAAAGTAATTTTTAAACTAGCTTTATTTATTAGCATATGGGGTTTTTTTGCTGCAAACAGCAGTGTACTTAATCCAGGTAGAAAGATACAGTATGAATGGTTATTGTATTTAGGACAAATATATTTAAAATAAAGACACCTGTCCCAGGGTATAAGATCATATTGCAAAAGCAACTGCAGTTGTGGTAGCAGTTGGTTTATTTTCTTTTTTTTTAATGGCATATATAGTAAAGATAGAGGTAAAGGTTTTGCATGGTAGAACGGTTCAGTACCGATTTCCTTCTGATGTGATGGATACATGACATATTCAAGGCCTGCTTTATCAGTTTCTGACAAATAGAGATATGGCACATATGTGGAATGCAGCTTCACTCTGGCATTTTCACAGATAATCTTGGAAAAAAAGGAAGTTGCTTATTGTTTTAATTTTCAAACATAAGTGTGCCTGGAGCATTTTTTGTCCTCCTCTCAAATGATCTAGAAGTCAACAGCAAGCATACATCACATTTTGGGATGGATATCTGTTCAGAACTGTGAAGCTGTAAAAATACTTAAAGATTTGAAGCCTTACCATTTCACCTGGATGTTATATAAGGCATTGATTTGATAAGCAGATTCCGTTGAAAAATTCATGCTACCAGTGATTGCCTTTTTTAAAATAAATTATATTGGGACAGAGGTTCTTATCTTAAGTACATTCAAAAGCACAAATACTTCAATATTTGGCAATAACCAATGGGAATTTAGTGTACTGTGTGTTTGTAGCTTGTGAGCTTCCTGCTAACCTGAAACATGAAAAGCTTTAGGAATAGTATATTAAAAAAATTATATTGTGTAGGAGTATTTCTTTAATGAAAACTGTATGTAAAATGAGACATCAGAAAAACAGTTCACTAGTTACTAAATGAATCAAAGTTTTTACAGCTAGTGGTTTCATGTGCATAACTTTTATGGATGTGGTGGAATCTAATAATTAAAGGCTGTTTTTCTACCCCTTTCTGTATCTTGCAGGCATACAGGAGTTTCCAGAAAATATAAAAAACTGTAAAGTCTTGACAGTTGTCGAGGCAAGCGTAAATCCAATTTCAAAGTAAGTTTGTACATTTTTTGATGTTTTATATTTTGTGCAAATACTACTGAGTCTTGAATTTGCCCCAAGATGTGTGCCAGCCCTTGGAGGCGAGAGCAGAGTTCCCTGAGAAATACCCTCATTAACCTTGTTGCACAGTGATCCACTATAGCTGTCTCATTAAAGTACTTTGCCAAAGTTAATAGGCTATGTGAACTATCCTTCATTATACCATGTAGCTTTGTCAGCTTGTTAAAATCCATCACTTCTCTGTGACTGTAGAGAAGTGTGTGAAGAGTTTTCTTAATAACAAGAAAGTATTCTGGTTTAATATGTATTTCTGCTATAGTGGCAAAATTAATTTGCCAGAAATCTCCACTGCCAGAGATAAAACATATCTCTTCTGGGGGAAAGGGGGTTGTGTATTTTTAAATTTATCCTGTTGTTTCTAATTAATGCCTTCTTCTCATTACATGTCAGGAGATTACCAGTTTGTTGCATTACTGCATCTATTTGTAGTTCTTATTGCCTGTAAATGTTGTTCTCAATACTTAAAATAATTTTGAAACTCATCTTATAGAGAACAACTGTCTAGTGTGACTTTAAAGAAATCACCCCCTCAATTTTAATTTTATCAATATGTAGGACTTCAGTACTATACTGTTGCTTAAGAAAATATGACTTAATGCCCTGAAAATAATTGAAACTAAGGTACTATGTTATTTTACTTCTATATAGGTTGCCAGATGGATTTTCTCAACTGTTAAACCTAACACAGCTGTACCTGAATGATGCTTTTCTTGAGTTTTTGCCAGCCAATTTTGGAAGGTAAGTTGAACATGAAACTTTATATCTACATTAGTTTTAAATTTCTGCAGAGCAGTTTCTTCTGGTTCTGAAGCAAAGTGGGTACTGAAGAGAGGAAGAAGTGTACATTAGGAATTTGCAATAGTTACAGGGAAAAAAAGCCTTGAATCTGTATCAGCAGCTTTTAATTTTGAATTCTGAAGGACAGGCAGAATGCTTATGAAGGCTGTAAAACTCATTTACATTCTTGTTTCTTTTCCAACACTAGTATGGTAAGTAAGGAATCCTTTTTGAAATTTATGTTGCTTGTCATGTAGTAATTGGAGTGAAGCAAATAATGACTACTGTAATTCCACTTGTCCTGGATGCACAAATTACTTCATGCACAACTATAACTCTCAAGTCCTTTTTTGTCAGGGATATTTCTGAAAAACCTGGCGTATTTATGGTGCATTCTGACTATGCAAAACTGTTACATGTCATAATTTTAGTACAAGATAAATACTAATCTGCTACCTCTGTAAAATAGATTAAATCTTGTGAGCAAAAGTGAAAAGGTAATACTCATAAAAGGAAAACTTCTAGATGAGCATAGGTTAAACTGTCCTTATCACACTACTTTTAGCCATCTCTGCAGTTTTCCTCTCTCCATTCTTATTTTATACCCTTTTCTCCTAGATTGTCGCTTTCCTGACCCATCCCATGTCCAGCAAGCATCTCTTTCAGAAAATACAGCAATTAGTTAAGCAATCGTATTGCTGAGTGAAAAAATTGCCTTAGGCCATATAGTTATATTTGAGTCAGCACAGTTTGCAAGAGATTAGCAGAACCCCCAGATAGTGCTGCAGCAGTTGGGCAGATGAGGAGATGAGCAATGGAACATAAGCACAGGTGCTCTCCACTAGTGACCATTAATTTATTAGTCATCTATGATCAGAGCTGTTGGCTTGCTCTTCTCTGTTACTAGTTAATGAATGACTAAAAGCACCAGATCTGCTACACATTCAAAACATCTGCTTATGATGCACATGCATTATTGTCATGCTTTTTTTCTGATGCACACAGTTTGCTTTTCAGAAGGCTTCATTAAGGTTGAAGAATATCTGGAATATGCATAATCTTGTTGGAATTCTAATGATTGTCTATGCTTTTTTCTGTTCTGTTTTTTAATACTCTAACCAAATGGCAAGATTTTCTTAATTAAAACATGCACTACAGATAAACTTGAAGGGTTGAGGTTGACACGGCTGATTGTTTAAGTAGTTAATCTTACACATAATACGCATTAAAAATTGTCATAATTTTTTTGTCACTGTCAGCTTCTATAATGCTTAATGTTTAGTGAAATGGTAAAGTCATTAATTACTAATATCATAAGAATAAATCAGTTTCTGAAGACAACTTCAAAGCCAGTTCTCCATTGTAGTGTTTCTCTTGATAGTTATGAAGAATTCTGCCTTGTTAGTTCAAATCTAGTGATTTGCAGCATCCTTTTTTATACCTAGGAGAATGAATTTGAATGTATTCATGAATGTAAGTTTACCTGCTGAAATACTTTTGCATAGAAAACATGGTGTTCTACAGGAAGACAATGTTTGGATCAAATAAAATGGAAAACAATGAAACATTAAAATACCGTTTCAAAGTAAGGTTCAGACCCCTCTGACATTGACTGCTTCCATAAGTAATAAGACTGCTCTGCCATCCCACAATTTTCCATCTAGGTATAAGACTTTGCACTTTTCTAGTGCAAAGTCTTAACTTCCGCTTCAGAATATGGAAATACTTCTTTTATAAACAAAGAAAAACTCTCCTAGAAGCTGTTGAAATATTTAATCTCATAAATTACAAGCCTTCAGTTTCTTCCAGTTTGGTGCATTAATTTTTTTGTATACAGCCATATAGCTAGTACTTTTAATTGTTTAGTAATAGGTGAAGTAATTGAGTTCTGTTGCCTGCTGTTACTGGCAACTATTGTCAATAATATTGTCTCCTAAAAGCTAAGCCAACACATATTACAGCTAACAAGGTTTTTATGCTCTGTGTGTCAAGTTAGAAACCTCGTTTCTTACATCTCTTTCTCTCTGAGTGTTCATTGTTTCTACAGTTTAATTGCTGCCATTTCTCACAAATGTTGTCTCCCATTCTCTCACCTGCTGTATTTGTAGTATTCTCACATCCCTCAGTCTATTAGACTAAATAAAATTCTGCTTTCTTCTGGTGTGGTAGGTTTTCCTTTGTGTCTTGAGTATATTAATATATCTTGGAACAGGTTTCAGTTTTAATTCACCTTCTTTTTGACAGAGGGTGATGACATCTATAGCTATATTTAGAATTTGAATTGAGATTTCTTCGTGGCTTGTACAGTGTCATGATTATCTTGTTGTTTCTCTTGGAAATGTCTGTGGTTGTGCTCCAGTGTTCCAATTACCCTTTTTGCAGCTGCCTAGTGTAATTTCCTACATGATTAACTGATGTGTTGGACAGTTCAGTTAGAAATGGCTGATGCCTACAAGGAAATCCTAAGTACTTGGCTTGGTGCAATGGTATCATGTCCTTTTTTCTCAATTTTTTTTAGTCTTTAAGGCTGTACAGGTTTTCCCCCCTACGGTGTCTTACTAAATCACTGTATTGTCTGTGACATAAGCCAAGTTTAATAGTTTTCTGATCTTAGAAGATTTCTATTAAAAAATATTGAACAGGGTAGTCCTAGAAAGGGTCTTTGAGCACCTCTATTACTACTAACCTAACACTCAGCCTGGTTAGGAAAAAACTTTTTATAATGGAAAACACTTTTAGTATATCCATGCAGTCTTTTGTTGGATTTATCTCCATGCTTTATTCTCATCTTCAGAATTTTTGCTAAATATTTTTATAATTGTGAGGTCAAGATTATGCCATCTTTTCCCCATTTTTTGAGAGAATTGTATATTGGCTGTCTTTCAATGATGTTAGTTTTGTCCAGCCTGTTAGGTTTACTAAAAGTCATCAGACTTTTGATATGATGTGCCTGTTCCTTTGGAATTCTCAGGTGACAAAGTGGGGGCTTTTCCTCCATTCCCAAATGGAAATTTGAATGCATTGATATTGGCACAGATCGTGGCATTAGCCTTCATGCCAGTGCACAAATATTTGAGAATTATTATCCTTGCCTAAGAAAATTGTATATCTTGTATCTGAATACATAACGTATATTTACATTTAAATATGCGAATATATAAGCAGAAAATGCTTGAAACTCACTTCTTGCTCATTTTGAGACAGGGTTTTAAAAGGGCAACATTTTTTACTAATGGGTGTGTAAGATAAACAAGGACTTATCTTCAGTATAATTCTAAAAATCTGGCAATAATGGGATATTGTCTATAATGGGATATTGCTTCCAGAGCCTCTTTACTGGATATTGCAATTAATTTACTTTATTTCTACTTTCTCAACAATTTGCCAGTAGTATCTGTAGTAGTAGATGGTTTTAGTAGTATCTACTGTGGGTTATTTTTTATGTAAGCGTACAGTGATAATAAAATATAGTTTTATATATATATATGTATATGTATTTAGTTACATATATACATATGTATATATGTGTTTTGCAGAAACTTTCATAAATGCAGCCTTTTGCATGCATACTTTTTGTTCTGCTTTCCTTTGCATTTTAGTAACAATTTAAAATAAAATATTCTGCTTTAGGAAAACTGCAGAGGAGGTGTAAAGTAAGGAACATCTCTCAATGCAGTATTTTTATATTTCCATGGAATTACTGCTTGTCGCACAGCAAGTTTCGAGTGTACCTGCTGTATGTTTCTTTTACATTTTTTACAGGTAGTATAGTTTATGAAATTAGATTTAAGAAGGATATTGATCTTCTTCTGGAAAATTGTTCATGTAGAGATTTTATTTTATTGAAAAGTTGTGTTGCATTTAAAATGCAGGCTAAGATGGTTATGATTAAAGAGCAATACTGAAAAAAAAAATTTAAGCTATTATACTTAGAATGTATACTTCCAGTTGAATAATACCTGTTACAGCTTTGTGCATTGGTGATGTGCAGATAGGTTGATGGGTTTTTCAACTTCAGAAATTCAATATTTCTCTAGAAGTAGGACAGATCTTTTCCACAGAATGGCCCAGATAATAGACAATCTGCCACTATGAATTCCATTTTTCCTTTAGTATAGGTGAATTAGTTCTTTATTTCTTTGTCAAATAAAATGCCACTTCTTCAGGTGCCTTATTGCAATTCTTGCTCAGCTTGGATGGACGCTGGATGCTTAGCACCAGCAACTGAAAAAACAGCTAGACCTAGTATTTGATGTTCATTATTATTTTAATCTTGAATTAGCTTTTCAAGATTCAGTAGTGGAAGAGGTGACAGCTGCTTCAGTCCAGTCTTTCTCATCAATTACTGGAAGAAAATTACATGTTTAGACACAGCCTGTATCACCCACCTAGGAAAGGTTGAGAATGTTTTCCTAGTAGCTTCTGTGAAGCTCTACGCATAAGAAATTTAATATTTATATCTTCGGTCTCTTAGGAATAGCTGAGGAAAGATTAGAACAGGAACAAGGTGACAAAGCTATAAACATTTCTGTCACCAAAGGCAATCTTTAAGTTCACAGAGTTAGCTTATTGCAAGCGTCACACAGTCAATTCTGGCTAAAGTCAGTGAAAAGTGGGTGTGCATATTTATAGTTTAGCATATGAAGGGAGACTTGCTGGCATTGCCTTCCATGGAAATTTGATTGCATACATGAGTTGTGAAGAAAAAACTACAAACTGTGTAGCTATCTTCCCTGCCATAAAAGCAAAACACCAGCTGAAGCTTGATGCAGTGCTTGGTTTAGAAATCAAAGCCCAAAATGTTCATTCATGTCTGAGGGTTCTTAAAGTTCTGTTTTGCACTAGATTGGTATCTTAGGGTGCTGGTAGGGTGGCCTAGGAGGTCTTTCCCACTTATGTTCTAGGTGAACAGCAGTGCTATTACCATGAATGGGGTGTTTATTAGGGCATTCTTTCACCACTGTTAGGATATTGGGTTTTTGCGGTTTTTTTTTTTAGAAGTTGGAGGGAGGAGGTTCACCTCCAGCAGTTGCTACCAGATGGTGAGGGCTGCTTGCAGTGCTGGGCTGCACTGACATCTCTTCTCTTTCAAGGTGACTCTTATATTCTTAGGTTATTTGTGGGCATGGCAGATTGCTGCTTTCAAAGTGAGCAATCCAAAATGAGTGAATATGAATATCTAGAGGAAAAATACATACTGTTTTCTGCTTTCTATTTCTACACAAAATATGGTTCTTACCACTTAATTAGAATTAAGGTTTTTGTCTCTGTTCTTACAATGCACTCAGTTAAGCACCTTCAGGAAAGACTAGTCTACTCACCAATCTCCTTTCTGATTCAGAGACCTTAATCCCCTATTCTGTGTTGTGTGAGGGCTGTCAGTGGGTCACATGTAGAAATCTTGTCATTTCAATCCTATCTGTATTTAAACTAAATCAGTTTCTTAATTTTTTGTAACAAGTATAGCTTTGTCACTTCTATCCCAATACAAAAAAATTCACTGGGAATGGTACATTGCATGTATGTCAAGACTGCCTGGAACTTAACTTGGCTAAGCAGTTGAGTTGAGATTTAGAGGTTATTTGTCTTGCAACCAGAGATTTACTGGAAAAAAGGTCAAACTACCTTGACCTTTTTGACAGAAATGTCAAAATGAATTCAGAAGCTGACTAGAAAGAGAATATGAAAGGAAATCCAAGATTAATTTAAAGCTATCAGGTGGAAGACTACAGGTATTCCTCCAATAAGACTTTTTGTATTAAACTGTTTGATACATTGCCAGTAGTAGAAATTTAACATCTTTAGTTGTGCAAAATGATCCTTTCTGTTACTTCCTGTGTACTTTTCATTATGATGGTAACATGTACCCATAATTAATCCAATGTAGTGTTTCAAAATTTTAGGGATGAAGGAAAAAATTGTGTCCAAACAGGTGCAGAAAAGCAGGCAAAATCTATTTTGTTTGTTGCTTTACCAAAATCAAACTCCAGCCAATGAATTTAAAATAACATGCAAATTTTGCACAAGATTTCACCTCAATGTTACAGGAAAAAAAATTCAAACTTACAGATTTTTTTTTCTTTAAATTCTATAATATAAGTAAGGTCAGAGATTGCTTTTGTCATTAAATACAGAATATTGTAGTAATTTGTTGTGCCTTTCTGTTACAGATTAACTAAACTCCAGATATTGGAACTTAGAGAAAACCAGTTAAAAATATTGCCAAAGTAAGTATTATATAGTTCTAGGAATTCCTACAGCAATTGTTTTAACATTAATCCATTCTACCTCTCTCCTAAAATCTAACATTTTTCTAGTCCCTGCCTTGCAATTCTCACTTACTTCATCAAACAAGTCTAGGCTGATGGTGATGCAGTTCCTGCTGTTTCTATGAACAAGAGCAATACTCAATATTTTCCAACTGGGACTCTAGAGCTCCAAGCAGGTTAGTGAATATACAAGAGGTCAATGAAGAAAGAAACAGATCCCAAAGATGGGATGTGAATAGCCACCCACAGAATCATGAAAACATTGTGGTGTACTGTAAAAGTGATCTTTCTCTGGCAACAGAAATTGGTAGAGTTGTTGGTTTTGGTGAATGTAAGTAGTTTTGGTGGAGAACAGGAGGCTCTAACAATTGAATATTCACTCTGTCTAATTCATGCTAGGAAGCACTTGAATGCTGTAGGCGGAAGTGGAAACTGCCAGCTCTTCAAATACAACAGCCAGTTTTTTAGTGACTGTAGCTAATTATATGTGTAAGACATGATCAAGGGTTATGTTCTATTGGGATTCCCTTTTTAAGTGCCTAGATACTGTACTGTGGAGTCTGCAGTATAAACAAGCCAGAACTCCTATCTAGAATGACATGTGCAGCATCAGAAAGTGTGAATTTACATTTTCAAAGTGTGAAGTGTTCTGTGGTATAAATACTCTCAATTCTATTCAGCTCTCTCTGCTATCATTAGTTTTTAGCAGAAAAAAATTACAGGACATATAATTTAGAGTGGTAGCTCTCTAAATTAAAGTTACTCCCAACTGAGGAACAGTAGCTATAATTAAAACTTATAGCTAATAGAGATTTTGTTTATAAGATCACTCTGACCTTAACTGCCATAATTAACACTAAGAGCATGAATTACATTAAATACTAAAAATGTAGTAAATTCTTTAGTGATTAGACAGTAATACATGCTTTAATGTGTTTAAGTCAAACTCTGTTGAAAGTGCTAGGAAACTTTTTGTGGACTTCAGTGTTTTCAGAGTTCTTTTCTTGATTGAAAACTAAACAGTAACTGTCATGAAGAGCTCCTCTGTCCCATAATAATCTATGGTACATGCTGAGCTGCCAGCTCTATTATTCTATTCTGGTACTCTTATAGAAGATGCAATACAGGTTTAAAAAGTGTAGGAAATTCAAAGCAGTTAAAAAGATACAGCAGTAGGTCCTAATATTTTTGCTATAGACTACCAACGTATTTCTGGTTTTCCTGTGACTTTCATCTTTCTAATGTTCTTACAGCAAATTCTTTCCTATTTGTAATAAGAAATGTATTTGGATAAATTCTGCAGCATCAAACTAGCCCTCTTTCTGAGTAAAACATGCACATAATTTTTGACACTGAAGTATGAAGTGCTTGAAAGAATGTTAATCAAAATGAGTAATCAATGCCGACACACTACATCAACCTTACTTTATGCCAAACTTTATGCCAAATATGTATCATTTTGTTTGGAGCTTATCCACAGTCAGAGACTGCAAGTGGTAGCATTATAATGCAAAACAGCTGGATGAAACTATTTCCACTGAAAGGAAAGCAAAAACACAGGGACTATTTTAGAGGCATTTTTCTGATGGGAAAATTGATGACAAATTGGAAAGATGGTCCAGTAAAAATACTTCTTTTTTTTTTTTTTAAGCTTCTGTGGCCTAATTGTTAATAAAGAGAGTTAGCATTTTAGAAAGAAGCAGGTTATTTGAGAGTATAATTACAGTGATGCAGGGCCCAATCTTGCCATCATGCACATTCCCTTTGAATTGTATGCCACTTGATATAAGCTGTACTGTTAACCTTAGTGAAGCTGTCTGTATACAACAACAGAATTTTAGACATAATTTAGGCTATCTGATCCCTTAGAATTGAGTTGAATTGATGCCAAGTTCAATAATATGAATTATGAAAGAGGCTTTCAGTTTATGGGAGGGATTATGCAGCACCTTGTCAAAGATGAAAATAGGTGTTACTCTATGATCTAGTTAATGTTTGTTTCAACATCATTTGGCATTGAATTCTCTTGCTACCAGTAACATTATTGGAAGCCTTGCTTTCGTTTTGTCTGACAGTATTTCTCTATAAACAATACAGAAAAGCAAGAAGATATTAATCCTAGAATATCTGATAGTGCTATTATGTAAACAGCAGGGAAAGGAAGGAATATTTTCGAGACCCTCATCTTGCAAACACATTTGTGTATGTTTTCTCATTGAGTGGATCTGGGCAAAGTCATTTGGGCAAAGGAAAAAAGGCCCCCAAGTCAATAAAGTTAACTTGTCATCCTGTCATTGTTACATAACATGGGTTTTTATAGTGTGGTCTATGCAGTTGCAAAAGCTACAGAATGCTACAGAATGCAAAGAATCTGTTAGATTCTTTGAAAGGAGTTCTTCAGCAGTGGTCCTGGGAGACTCTTTGGGGCAAATTTATTAGGAACATACAGCACTACAATTGATATTAGCATGATCTCACAAAGCTTTGAGAGATCAGTCTTCTGCAGGATTTCAGAGGGACTCATATAAGTTTTGTCAGAAATTGAAAAAGAATATTAGCTTTCTGATAATCATCCTATTCATTACCTTCAAGAAATGAGGGAGTTTGTTTCTTAGAGTCTTCTGCAAATAGTATTTTCATGTTTTATTGGGTTTTTTTTTCCTTCTCTAGCACAGTTAGCTAGAGGCTTTCCTTCAAAGCCTGTGTATACTATTTGTACAGTGCAAAAAAGGCTTCTGCTGCTTTTGTCTTTACCTGCTTATGCTAAATTCCTTGTTTGTCCCTAGCTTAATTACTCCAATATCATAAAAATCAAATTTCTAAACAGATGTTGAGTCTCCTTCTTGGAGATTATTCCATTAATAATATTAATAATCACATTAAATTACTTTCAGTAAATATAACATTTTTCAGTATATTATTTTTGAACCGTATGTTCAGAGCAACCATAGATTGTACTGTAGTTGAGGAAAAACTGAAGCTTTGAATAGCTGCATAGAGCATCTTGTGCTCATGGAATTGTTTCTTGAAGAAACTGTGTGTGTGTGATTTTGTGACAATATACAAGACTCTACCATTTAGAAGCTCTTACATTTAATTATTCCAGAATTTTATAGTATGTACACAGTTGCAGTTTATATATTAAATTTTTATATACTACTAATTGTAATTTTTATATACTACTAATTGTTCTGTGAAAATCTCTTATTAAATAAATATATGAATGTTTTCATATGAGGGATTCACACTCTCTTAAAAAATACTTCCAGGTAGAGTTGCTGTTGACTGTGAAGTACCCATTGTGACCACATGTGCAGTGGTAGATAATCTCTATGGAGTCCCCAAAGTGCACTTAAATAGAGGGAAAATTTTTCCAAAACACAGCTTGAAGTAATGGATTTTACTTTTATTTCAGACATTGATTTAGTATTTGCCATAAGTTAGGTTAAAGAGTATTGATCCAATTTAGTAATCTCCAAATCCAATTTAGTAATCTCATTTAATGTGTGACTAGAGAAATAATTAGAGTTCCGAACCACATCACATGGAAGCAGCATAGCAGCCTGGAGAGGTACAAAGGTGGTATTGCATACTGTGATTCAACAGTGCTCTTCTCCTGGTCACTAGTCTTCCTTTGAGAAGAAAACATGTAGTTAACCAGCCTTTGACTGCTGAAGGGACATATTGTGACTGGAAGTGAAAAGCTGAACCACCCAAAAGAAGAGATGCACCACTGCATTACTCGTTATCATGAAGATTTCTTTACTGGTCTTTAGTTTTTGCATGCTCATCATGCAGCCTCAAGTGTGTTGCAGTGTATGCTTTGTATGATGCTCAGCAGTCTGCAGGATCAGTAATATCTGCCTGGTTGACCAGTGTGTGAATACTTTATCTTTAATTAGGTATCATTCCAGTTACAGAATAGCATCACCACTTAATATTGATTACTGGATTTTTGTAAATCTGGAAGATTTGATGTTGCTAGTATTTTCTTAGACCTAATTTTTTATTAATCCCCTTCCTGTGTAGAACTATGTCCAGACTGACTCAGCTGGAGAGACTGGACTTAGGAAGTAATGAATTCACAGAAGTGGTGAGTTTTGCCTTAGTTACAGAGCTCTGCATCTTTTATAAATCTTTTTATCCTTTGATCTGTTTTTAACAAATATGAAAACATAAACATCATCTTAAGAGTTCTGCTTCCAAGCATTATTTATACCTTACACTACTTTATGGAGCCTGTTATAAAAATCATGTGTGTGATCTTATGAATGAGAGTGTGTTTTTACTCCATTTTAAAATAACACTCTGTTATATAGTGTGGTTACTGTACTGGTAAATAATTAAGAGTACTACATGTTTGAATTATAAACATAATTGTTAGGCTTAGAATAAATTCTAAACATTTATTGATTATCATGTATTGAGTATTACAGTTTTTTGCCTAACCTGCTTTTATTATTGTGCACTATTAGATCCAAGGGAAAATATATTAAATTTGAATGTTGTTCAAAGCAGTATTTACAGTTGAAATGCTCTGATTTTTCCTTTAGGATGCATTGACTTGTTTCCTGTTTGTATTCTCACAGGCAAATATATTTTGTCTTTAAGGGTCACATAACATCTCTCTGCTTTTACAAATACTTTCCTGGGTAAAGGAATTGAAATAGAAGTATAATGAAACTTACTGACCTGCAGCACAATAGAGTCAAGCATTTGTGTGCCACTAGTAGAACATGCAGAGCTGAACACTTGCTTAGTGATATGGTTTGGAAAATAGGGGAGTGTATTTAAGGAATTTTTCATTATTATGGTTAAACATCTAGGACTGCCGTATTCTCATCACAGGGTATATATTTGTGTGGGAGCCTTAAACTAATGTTTAAATTACATCTTCTTCTTGGAAAGTGAGTTAGTTACTGGGAAAGAAAGTTATTGGGAGTCAGGTCCGCAACTTCAGCAGAAATCCTATCTATTCACTGTATAACAAAATTTACTTAGCATTTGTCTGAACTTGGCTGTACTTATTAAGGTGCAGTAGTACCTCTTTTGTATTGCTTTCTCTGGAGGGAAGTTTAAATAGGGAAAGCATATGCGACATGAATGTTTATGAAGAAGAGGTCTTTCCCTGATAAACAAGACACTTTTTACAATAAGTTATATTGGAAACATAATCCTGCACTTCATTTTATGGATGGAGTGGTTAGCTTGTATCATGGAGATGCACCCTTTGTTGATAGAAAAAATGAAGTTTGGTTTGATTTTCCCCCAAACAAAAAAATCACTGGGGTTTTTGAAAAACAGGTCCTCTGAGTTGATGAAATTTAAAGGTTTTTAGATGTCCTCCATCAAAACTGTACATGTAACATGTACTTAGAGTGTGTGCTTGTTGAAAAAGAATACTTTCTGTAAAAGACACCAAACCAACAGAAGGCCTTTCTCTAAAAATTATTTAGTGCTGTGGTCAAGTTCTTCAAAGTCCTTATATATCTAGTTATATATTTTCATTTCAAAAGTGAGTTATCTGAGTTTTCTGTGATGACCCAGTGAAATATAACAGCTAATATAACAGGGTATAACAGCTACAGTAACATATTACTAAAGTTGCAATAGACAAATCACTGGAGTTGGTTTTGCCATTCACTGGGGATGTTTCATAAGGTTTTTTTAAATGGCTTCCCATTACAGCCTGAAGTACTTGAACAACTGAGTGGATTAAAGGAATTTTGGATGGATGGTAATAGACTAACACTTATTCCTGGGGTAAGTTCTTTTGCTGTATTAAACATACAATATTTTAAATTACACAGGCACTTGCTTTGTCAGTGATCATGTACGTTGAAGTTGTAATTTTAATGTTACTTAAAGCCAAAAGGATAAATGGCACATGAGTGCTTAACTAGCCCACTTAGAAATTATCACTGATCATGAGAGTTGCGTTCACAGCTTTTTGGTGGTTTTTTTTTTCATTGAAAGTTACATATTTCTCATCCAAAAATTATGTTGCAATTCAGGAAAATGAGTAAAAGTCTTTAATCAAATTTAGGTTTGAATAACCCTTCCAAAAAGGGATTATTCTATCTTAGATAGCAAGCAGGAATATGTAGAATAAGTATGTTGTGTGGCTTTTTCCTGGTCACAGTTGTAAAAGAGAAATGCCAATTCCAATGCTGTTTAAACAGGGAGCATAGACAGTTCCTGAGAAAACAGTCTATTTACTTTGTATGGGTTCCTGACATCTTTCATTATATGTGGTCCAGGCTCACCTATTATTACAGTACTTGAGAGTCTGTGCTTAAGTTTTAGCAAACTAACAGATGAGTATTTGAAATTTGGGAAGCATCTGGCTTGCTTTCAACCTTAAAATCACTAGGAGTCATGTGAAAAGTGGCCTTCCTGCCTGATCAGTAGTCTTTTCTACTGTTTTTCCATCAGCTAACTATTAGACAGTTGAGTGTTTGGATTGTAAAATACGAGTTGAACAGTGTTTTGCAGTAAAATAAAACTGTATTTCTGAGAGTAAAGATTTCAGTAGAGTAATGTGCATGAATTTTCAGGCTTATCCTTGGTTCATGTGGAATGGTAATGCAAGCTTATATTTTGGCTTGTTTCTTTCAGTTTAGTACAATTAGGGATTCATTGTTGTTTTTGAGGATGCAGTTTTATACAAAAGGCAAAAATCAGCATTAAAATTCTACTGGAGCATAATGATGTCCTCACATTATGTGTCTCTTTCTGAAGTCTATTCTAGAGCTGCAATTACTTGATTCATGGTAACTAATCAAACCACTGAATGTGCAGAAGACTGACTTTAGGGACATGCAGAGCTGCTGTGGGGTGTCTCTGTGTGTAAAAATATCAGCTTTCCTTATCTGCACAAAATACTTCATTTGAAAGTTTGTATATTTTGCATAAAATTTTATTTCAGTACTCTAAGTCTTTTCCTCTGGCATTACACTTGAGAGGTCATATCTGCTGGATTTTTGGTTTTGAACTTGCACTTTTCTAGAATGCATTATTTACTCTTGCTTTTAGTTCATAGGCACTTTGAAACAACTGACTTACTTGGATGTTTCTAAAAACAACATTGAAGTAGTCGAAGAGGGTATTTCAGGTTGTGAAAGCCTGCAAGACCTACTGTTATCCAGTAATTCACTTCAGCAACTGCCAGAGTCTATTGGTTTGTATTTTAAGTTAATTTATGTTGTTAGAAGCCTGTAGTTCAGACACAGAGAACTTGAAAGTACAAAAATGACATTCTAGATCTGTTTCAATTGAGTAGAAGTGCCAGTTCTTGATAAAGCTGTAATGCATAGCTGAATAATAACTTAAAATTGGTTTGGAGCACTTTTACTTTATACAGTAGTTTGTAAATGTATGAAAAACTGCTGTCTCTATCAGAAAAAAAAAAAAACAATTTCTTTTTCTCCCTGCCCCTACTCACAGTTTACATTGTAAACTGGCAAACAAGTTCTGTAAGCTCATCTCCTTGTTTCCTTAGTAATACAGCACTATAGGCACACCAGGGAATAGAGAAGATGTGGTGGCTGGCCCATAATGTTGGGTTATTTCCCCTCTTAATTTAAAGTTAAAACTCAGCTTAATTAACTCAAATGTCCATTTTGATTTACTTGTTCCTATTGTTATAGGTTCTCTGAAAAAGGTGACAACACTTAAAATTGATGAAAACCAGTTAATTTATTTGCCAGACTCCATAGGAGGGTAGGTATTTCACCAAAATAAGAAGTTGAATTTCCTTTCTGAACACTCTTCTGTAACAATGGCTCCTCTCTGAGTTTTTTTATAACTACTTGATTTAATTTCTTCTACATCTTAATGCCCTAATACAATTTAAAGCAAGAGTTTTCATCTTAGTTCTGCTTTGCAGCATGTAGGTTCCTATTACTTAATACCAAAGGACATATGTTCCTCATTTAATGCAGCCACCAATCTATAAAACAAAAATTGAGTGTGACAGAAAACAAGATACTTAAAGAGTCAGTTAGCTTTCTAAAACTGTATTTTTTTGGCAGTAACATGGCTGTGGTAGATATTGCAAATGATTGCCCAATCTCAAAAATTTTGTAAAAAGTAAATGTGAACATGTATTTATCTTTTTTATATCTATATGGAGAACTTTCAGCTGTCCATCAGCAAGGTTTTTTAATATATATTTTGGTGTTCAGCAATTTAATTTAAAACATGCAAATAATAGCAAAAATAATTGGCTCGCAGTTACGCACTGTACAATTGTACAATGTCTTCCAATTTTTTTTTCATATATTTTAATTAATATAGCTTATCTTTTGTTGTCAGAGTTTACAAAGTACTTCTTCACTGCCAGATTCTTAGGTTCACGGTCTGTAACTCTTGAAATTCTTTGCTTGTTCAGAAGGTGCATTCAGCTCTAATTTGACTGTGATCTATCTCATTCTGAATGTTTTTAATGCCTTACACTGGCATGTTGTCATGTAGTACACAAGCATTTGATGTTGCTGGCCTCACAGATTTTGTTGTGAAGACAGTGTAAAGGAGATTTAAAAAAATTAAGCAAGCTCGAAACAGAACCAAAAAACCTGCAATCAAGTAAGAGGAAAAAACACCCACCCTAAGACACATTTTAGGCCATCAGTAAAGGATTCTTCTTGGATTTTAATTCCTTAGGATTTATTTTGAACTACATTTGTGATCAATAATTAATAGTGATATTAACTTCATGAAAACTGCAAGTATTTGATTATTGTTGGATTAATTAATCTGTATGGAGGAAATAATTTTTTTTGCAGGTTAATATCAGTGGAAGAACTGGACTGTAGTTTCAATGAAATTGAAACATTGCCTTCATCTGTTGGGCAGCTCTCAAATATAAGAACATTTGCTGCAGATCATAACTTTTTAACTCAGCTGCCATCAGAGGTATGTATTTAATTCCAAGTCTGTAAAATGAGTATTTTAATGTGTTATATAGTCTATACAACTTGTGAATAACAAGTTACTATTTTTTGAGAGGATTTTCTTTGTGTATGCTTTTAAAGGAGGATGTATACAAATATACAAGTTGATAAATAATGAAATTTGATTTTTTTTTTAAGCAACGATTAGGAATTCGTTGATGTGAATTGCAACTAAAAGGTTTAATACGTAAGAATAAACTTTCAAGGCAAAATAGCCTCAACACTAATTGTTTTTAAAACCTTCATATTTATGTTGTGAAGATGAATTAATTCTTTGTGTGGTTTTTTTTTTTTTAGATTGGAAACTGGAAGCATGTAACAGTGTTGTTTCTGCATTCTAATAAGCTTGAATTTCTCCCTGAAGAAATGGGTGATATGCAGAAATTAAAAGTCATCAATCTGAGTGACAATAGGTTTGTGAATTCTTTTAATCAAGTAGAAGTTGTATAAAATGCAACAATAATGTAGAGGGATTGTTATAAATACATTATGGCTATCTTTCTTTATCTCACACATAGCTCAGAAGGTGACTGAGAGGTATTTAATGTATTATTGTCATATTCTGGATATTGCAGCTTCATTATATTAAGCTATCTTTTTTTTAATGACCTGGCAGGTGCATTGAAGTGCAGCTTCACTACATTTGTGATTGTTAGCATCTGTTTTTCTAGGGAATTATTTTGGTTATTTTCATAAAACTTTTTGATTCTTACTTAAAATTAACAGCTTCTTGAATTGCATATGGAGCACCCAACAGTATCATAGGATAGTGTAAAAGACCTTGGTGTTCTGCGCAAGGGGGAAAAAGTTGCCTTTTATTAGAAATGGTCATTAAAAATAGACAAAATGTTTATCTTTGGGGAATTACTAGTTTATAGAATTGAAGTACTGGGAGAGAGAACTAGCAGAGCTCTCCCTCTTATTCGGTCAATGCAGCTTCTCTGTACTCTGTCTGTAGCTTGATTTATCCCTTAATGCCAGAGCACCCATTATCCATGACAGCGTATTCCCCATACATGTATCTTTTGGAAAAAAAAAGATTTTCAGGTGTAGTACATTTTCCCTTAATTGGCATGTATATTGACAGATAAAATGGTGAGGATTCAGATTTATTAATTAACCTTAATTGTCTTTGTATTCAAGTCACCCACTTCCCAGTTGAGTTAAATTCAGGTCACAATGTCACTTCTTTATTTTAAGCTACTTGCTATACTGGGCAGACAAGTTTTTCTTATTTGGTTGGTTTTTTTTAAATTGTATTTAAATTACATGTTGTAGCCTTTCAGCTCTCACTATTTATTAAGTGAACTTCATATGAAAATGTCCTTTTAAAATATTTTAGAGATACAGGATTGTTTAAAGTCTTAACAGTATGGCTAAATGTACTTATATAAATCCTTGTAATTTACAGACTGAAGAATTTACCATTTACTTTTACAAAACTGCAACAACTCACTGCTATGTGGCTATCAGACAATCAGGTGAGATTTTTTAATATTGAAAATAAATGATTGTGGACTTCATTCCTAATGGGGTTGACAAGAACAGAGCCATCTGTTAAATAAAGAGACCTAGTACTGTGTAAATCAATACTTTCTGGACGTTACTATGTCAGTTCTCCTTAAGTAACCAATACTGAACTCACCTGTCTCTGGAGGCTCATAATCCTGGAGAAATTCTGTGCTGCTCTGAGGAAATGCAGTTTAACAGATATTGGGACTTTTTTTTGGTTTTGTTGTGTTTTCTCTGGGTTTGGTTGGGGTTTTTTTGGATTTTGTTTGTTTGTTTGGGGGTTTTGTTTTTCTGTTTTGTTTTTTCTTTATTTTTGCTTTTGGTTGGTTTTTTGAGGGGGGTTTTTTTCTTTTGTTTTTGGTGGTTTTTGTGGTTTTTTGGGTTTTTGTTGCTGGTTTTGTTTGTTCAGGCTATTTTACTTAGGTGAGTTTAGTGCTTGATAAGTTTGAACTTGAACATGTAACCCGCTGTTGCTTTCACAGCTATACCAGCAGGGAAACTCAGCATGCCTGGTTTTCAGTTACGTTTTTTGCCACACCTTTGAACTGTGTGACTGTTCACCTTTGAAGCTGTTAAGCAATAACTCCTGTGCTTGTATTTTTCCTTTTTATTAAAGTCCTTGACATTATCCTGATTTTCTGAAGGGCATTAAAGTGTACAGGGCTGTCAGAAATCCAGTAGCCTCAGATGTACACTTTTAGTAAAACAGTAATTTCAAGAATCTTCTGCCTTTCCCTGTAAGGGGTGGAGGATGTTCCATCTGGTCTCAAAATGAAAAAACAAGGATGCTGAATTTTTCTCTTTATATGATTGTCTGCAGTTTTAAATAGCTAAATATATCTATGCATTTCTGATCAGTGTGCTTTGGGATAGTAGTAAGTAACAAAAAGAAACTGCGTTACTTTTTTACTATCTAGTGATTTCACAAAAGCTGTTGCTGAGTTTGTCCTCAGTCAAAAAGCCTGTCATCAATCAAATACAGATATATTAATTTCGTCATTTTGTGAAAATTATTCAGAGGAGAGATGGTTTAATTCAAGGGAAAGTAGTCTCCAAAGTCATGGGACAGGCATGCTCTGTGATATGTTGGTCATATTTACTTTTTTATATATATATATTCTCATAACATAGCCTTCTTTCATTTACTTTCTAGTCTAAACCACTTATCCCTCTTCAAAAAGAAGCTGACCCTGACACACAGAAAACAGTACTTACTAATTACATGTTCCCTCAGCAACCAAGGACTGAGGAGGGTAAGGAATTTCTGAAATTACCTGTCACAGTGGTCACTGTTGAAAATAATAATGGGAAGGCTTCCCGCTAATATGATTTTCACTAAATAATGCTTAAATATCTAAATGCTTAATGGAGTATACTTGCAGGAGATGATGAGTTGTGTCTGATGAATGAGAACACTGACTTAATGAGATTTAGATATTGGTAAATTTTAGATGAAACTATTTCAGTGAGTAAGGTGAGAAATGGACTGACAGGACCATGTTCTGTGGTGGTGGCCACTCCCAGCATGACACCCTCATTCCTTCCAAAAGAGCCTAATGGTTTGGGGTGAAATTCTCTTAAGCAAGCGTTAGCTTCAAACTGACTATTTTAGCAAAATGTTTCCTTCGTTACCAAGTATGTATTTTTTGAGAAGTACATAGTATTCTCTGGTATATTTTGAAATTAAAAAAAATCAGTCCACAAAAAGCATATTGTTCACATGTAGTTTGAACTGGTTTTATAAATGGTTAGGTTCCTGGCATTTGGTCAGGAACTCATAATGATAGTGAGGTTTATTATAATATCTTCAGATGTGTTAAAATTCTAAGTTCACCCGTTAAATGCAGGTAACAAATATTCCATTGCACTTACTAAGCCCTAAAATAAAGTATTTTTCTATGTCAGGTATAGAAGTGGTTAATATGAACAGTCTTCGTATTGCTAGTGAAGGATATACACTTTCTGGGTGGTAGTAGCAAATTTATTAGACTATTTGTCAAGGTAAAAGTAGCACCTGGCTGACATAACACCAAGACATGCTAAAATAAGAGACATCAGGTACCTGCAAGATTTTTTTAATCTCTTGTAAAATTAAGCAAGAAAGACTTGTATCTAAAGCCCCTGTCAACTGCATAAGTGCTGCAAAGTCATGCAGATTAACTTAACCTCCAGTTTTAGATGCTTACATTGCTTTAGGATTAGTAAGAATGCAGGTTTTTCTCACTAAGTCATTCGTAGTTTTCATTTTTAAATTTGCATTAAATTAAATCAGATTAATGTTCTTACCTGTGCTTAATGATGTTAAGCACTGATAATAGGCTAAATCTATAAATCTAAATCTATAAATCTACAAGTATAATTCATCTTTATTTATATATATATATATACACACACAAATACATTATTTCATATTTATGTATAGAATAAAACCACTCAGCAGAGTTCTGCTGAAAATTTTCGAATGTGAATGTCAAGACTAGTGTACAACTGAGCATATGATTTTCTTTTTAAAGATAGGGATTCTTCGAATATAAAAGTACAGCCAAATTCATAAAGCAGTGGCATTGCATCTAATCTTCAATTAATGATGCTGTTAGTCTTTCATCTTTTAAAAAGAACAAATACAAAAGCACATCAATCCCACTCAAGAGAAAGAAAAAGTGTATATTTTGTTTTACATAGTATAGCCCATTCTTACACAAGGTTCTTCGGGTTTTTTTTCCAGTTATGTTCATATCTGATAATGAAAGTTTCAATCCATCTCTGTGGGAGGAACAGAGGAAACAGCGTGCTCAGGTGGCATTTGAATGTGATGAAGACAAAGACGAGAGAGAGGCACCACCTCGGGTTAGTATTGAATTTATTTTTGCGTACATGGTGCTTCCCTCCCTCTTACTTCCACCCTTAATCTCAGCCTTTTCCATACTTTGGTAATGGGTTTCACTCTGCTGAATAAATCAAGGCATCAGTTTAGAGTATCTAGCAGGATGAAACACTATGGTTTGGATATTTTTGTTGTGTTTCCTTTTAGTTTGGGTGTTATTTGGCCAAGTCATTTTCAGTAGGGCACAAGGGAAGAGCTCAAGCTTATACTTGGCAGTGTAGGGCCTACCTAGGATGCTACCTGACTAATGGTGCTGTGGAGAACAAGTGGGGAAAGTATGATAAATCCTGATTTTATTTTGATTGAATTACAGTTGGCTTAATCCTTGCTTGGAATCATGGGACATGTTGGGGGAAAAGGAGTGAAAGTGATTTGTAATCTTGCCTGGTTGTATAAGCTTATGTCTGCCTCACTGCCAGCAGACTTGAGTATCAAGGTGGAGATTCTAGAATATTCAGTGGTGTGGCCTAATTAATTGTTTGTTTTAAAGCTTATGTTTTAGTTCTGACATTTAGATAAGTGTAGAACCTTACTGCCTTTTGTTACACAGGAGGGCAATCTGAAGAGATACCCAACTCCATATCCTGATGAACTGAAGAATATGGTCAAAACAGTCCAGACAATTGTACATAGACTAAAGGATGAAGAATCAACTGAAGATAATGCCAAGGAGTCAAAACGAGAAGTCCAGACAGTTTCTGTAAAAGATGTGGGGGTAAAGGTTAGAGATAACATTATCTTCTGGGTTTGCAAGAAATTCCAAAGACCAAATTGTCATTGATTCCTTTTAATTCTCTTTTCCCTCCCCTCTGACTCTAGCAAGAAAAATTGTTAGATTATAGAACCAATTTATCTCTTCCCACCTAAGGAAGTCTGTAACAAATGTCTGGTTTGCAGTAGCAGTCTTCCTCCTGCACTAAGAACAAGTGACCCAATTCTCAGGCACATACAAACTGTGGATGTGTTAAGGAGCTGCCTTCTTTGGTTCCTGGAGGATGGCATCTTTGTCATCCTCTGATCCTGTTTTATCTGCCAGACTTCACAATGAAATTTGGATCATATCAAAGGTTTTTACTGCTCTTGACTGAAAGCTTTGTGTGGTAACAAGCAGTAATAGCAGACTGGCAAAAGTGTCCCAAGTCTCTAAGAGCTTGATGCAGTGTGATAGAAGATAGGACTACTTTTTGGTGCTCACATAGAATCATTGCAGGTATTGGCCTGTTTGATTTTTTTTCATATGACTGGAAATATAATGGTACATATTGACACCAGTAAGGATGAAAGTCATACTGATTGACATAGGGTAGGGACTGTAGCTTAGTTATCTATTGTGTTTTCTTCATACATGGTGCATTCTGTTCTTTATAATTTCAGAGCTCAGATTTTTCCATTCCATGTTGTCCCAGAATATATAATGCTGGATCTATATGTCATTAAAAACGTTTCAGGATGCTTTCTCTGCTAATACTCTTGATTTTGTAGACCTCAGAAACTGATTCAATAAAGAACAAAGCCGATGAGAGAAAACAATATTCAGCAGGAAGCTCTGTGCAGAAGCCTAGTGAACCAGAAGCTGAGCACAGCACTGCAAATTCACAGATGACTGCACTTGTTAAAACCTTGCAGAACACGAAAACAGCTGTCAACCATGAGGACATGCTTGAGGTATGGCATTGCAATGAGCATTATAGCAGTCAGAAATTGTGCTGGTGTTGTGTTAAATTTGTTCTTCTAGGAGATGAACATTTCTGTTGACAATAGAAGAAAATTGCCCTCCATAACTGTTGTAAATTCAGATGGTTTTCAATACAGTGCATTTTTCGCTTCAGATTTTGTTGAGTAAAAGTTGAAACAGATAATAAAGTTCATAATAAAAGATGCATGCATTTAAAGAAAAATAATGTGAACTCAGTTAAAGATTGATATACACTGTGAAAAGACCCATACTTCTGTGGAATTCTCCAGGTGTTTGACTGTCAGTACTTCATTAAATAATCACTTTTAATTGTTGCTGAAATGACAAAATGTCAGATCAGTAGTAGCAATAAAATGTTTCTGTATCCAAGTGATTATACACATTTATTTCAAATGAAAAGTGGAAAGTGATTTAAAAAATATTTATTCCTCTGTATTTACTAGTAAGCTGTCAGGAATATTACTTGAAATATACTGACCTCTTCCAGTGAAGGATTTTAAACTTCTAAACTGTACATCTCTCTGCCAAACACCATGTATTTATTTATTTAGAAAGCTTGAGATTTATGACAAATTTTGGAAGCTGTCATTCAATCACTTCCCAGTTACAACCTGTAAAATACTTTTTTCATAATTTCAGCAGTGCATTTTTTTTTGCCTGTATTGTGTAAGCTGTGGAATGTGCCTATATCATACAGTGAAAAGACTTGAGTGACAGGCAGTTTTGGCTGTCACTGGCTACTTCCCCACTAGTATGTTCCTGCTTCTAAATTCTTTTTGAAAATACTGGTATTGACTTTTTTTAAAATTTTAAAATGTGATTTTGGAAGATCATAATAGTTGTCTAGTGATAATGACAGTAATTCTTTCTTACTGTCTTTGATAATGACAGTAGCTGTAGTAAGTACACAAGTCAGCTACAGTGACATCCTTGTTTCATTGTATTTCCTTATTTCCTGCTGGTAACGGTGTTGCAGAATCCAGAGAGCTAAACTTTACCTGTGTGTAAGCTTTTCATGTCAGCATTGATTACACTTGTATGTCACATCCAAGAGGAAGGGCATGTGATAGATGCAGTGAACAGGTTGGTTGTTTGGATTGTAGAGAAAAGCCGATGGATTTTTACTTTTTATTGTTACTTAGGACTGTCATAGCTTGTTTGTTACATCTCAGTCAAGTACGTCCTTCCTGCAGACCTAAGAACTGGCCAGGTAATTGGTATCATGGGAAGGTGGTGCTCCAATAGGTTTCATGCGTTAAATGTTCCAAAACAATAAGAAAAAGTGAATATTGGCAGGCTTTGTTTGTAATTTGCAACATGGATTTTGTCACAGGAATATGTTTACTAGAAAGAAATTTCTGCTTTGAGGAAAGGTTTGCTGGGGATTTATTTCTTCTTTTTATTACTGAAAACAATTGAGTTTTGAAGATAAATGAATATTTATCTTCAGAAAGAGGACTGCAGTAGGAACAGAATCAGTTGCATGGCTGCTCTTGCAGCAGCTTTGTCTGTTAATCCCTGTCATAAGTGCACTGAGTTCCATCTTTTGGTTCAGAACTAGTGATTACTAGCTTAAATGTATTCAGTATTGCTTTTTCTCTGCCATTGCTCTTGAAGTTAAATGACTTCTTTTCCTTTTGGAATTTATCCCTAGCAAGCCACCTTTCTGTTAGACTAGGCAGGCTAAGCTCCTTCAGTTTTTGCTTACAGCTTACCTCTCCATTCCTATGATTGTCTTGGTCATGGCTACTTTATAGCTGTTTCAGTTTGAGCTGTTTTCTTCAAAACCAATACCCAGCTGGTCAGTCTGCGGTGCTTGCTGCTTCAGTGATCACTTTGTGACTTAGACTCTACTGGATGCTCTCTCCAGTGGAAGAATGAAGGCTTCATCTGCTTGCTCCAATAAGTTTTTTGCAGTTAAAGTTACCTGTCTGAGTGTCATCCCACAGAGTTCAGCAGTGACAATGCAAGTCTGCAAGTGATGCTTCTTAAACATAATTCAGTTGACTTGCACTACAGATGCACTACAAGGTTGTTTTGCTTTGCCTATGTTATGTGGCTCATTTATCTTTTTACCCCGTTATTGTTTAGTGGGTGATAGTTTAGACAGCATTTACTTACATTTGAACTCCTCTTCAAAATGGACAGGATAAAGCTGTTTTCCCTTTAGCAGGAGTCAGAAGAACTCTCCTCTGATGAAGAGATGAAAATGGCAGAAATGAGACCACCGCTGATAGAAACCTCCATAAACCAACCAAAAGTGGTAGCCCTAAGCAACAGCAAAAAAGGTAAGATACCATAAAAAGCATTGGAAGTGTTTTGTGATTTCAATAATTTCTTGACTCAAAGTGGCTAGTTTTTCAAATTAAATTAAGTAAAAGTATGTTTTGTATGTTTTAAAAGAAAGATTTTCCTAGTTAAGCAATGAAAGCGGGGAAAAAAACTGCATAATCTGGAGTCCATGCTAGAGAAATGTGTGTTAATATCTTAATTTTCTTGATTTTTCTCAGTTTAAATCAGACAGGAAGAGAAGGGGTATATGTTTTGGGGCGTTTGGAGCTTGAACACACTCTTGATGTGCTTAAGAAAAGGATTGCAGAAAGTGGTATTTATTTTAGAAATAGTCTGCAACTCCCCCTTCACCCAGATTTTCTGAATTCTTGCTGCGATAGGCAGCTGCTATATAGCAGCAGTATCACTTTTTAAAATTCCTCTACAGAAGCTGTGCTCTCTTCCTAAGGTTTAAGAATAATCCTTCCTTGTAAAAATCTTTCTCCAGAGTTATTTTACTCTTTTATTTTTCTTTGCTCCTCTAGCATTAAAATTTTGTATCTTTTTTTTACTAACTAAATTTTATATTCTCTGAAATACAAATTTCTTCTGGGTAATCATTTCCTTAAGACTAAGAAACGGCCTAGGATTCAGGGAACATATGATATAGAAAGAGGATAGTGAATAATATTTTGCTTCATATGATATCCAAGTACAGTACTTCCAGGACAAAAAGCTTTTCTGGACATTAGATGTAAAAAGGTGAGATTGGGTGAGGAGAACCCCATGGTGGAAGCAGGAAGTCTGCTGAGGATCACATACAGATGAAAAGGTGGATGTTTACCAATGCTGTCCTTGGATTTTTTTGTCTGACTAAAGTACCAGGTCAAAACTTCTTTCTTGTCTCTGAAGACAGACATTAGTTCCACAAATGTATGCGTTTGGCATCTGTAACTGGCTTGAAGCAAAAATTTAAATGTATTTGTTTCTACACTTATGTCAGAATCACGGCTGCCTTGAATTCCCCCAGAGAAATTATTTTTATACGGATATAGTATGTAAGTATGCATACACTATGCAAGAATCAATGTGCACATGGGTAAATTACTCTGAAAATGTTGTCCTAAGGGATATGCAAAGCATGGGAATGCATTGAATTCAAAATCTGCAGGAGAGCATTTTTCATTGCTGATTTTTTACTTTACCAGTATGCTATACAGAGCTTATCCAGTGATCTAGATAGTTCCAGAGTACTTGGTTTAGTTAATAGCTTTGATAATGATATTCAAAACCATGAACAGCATACCCTTTCAAAATACTGCATGTGAAGCAGTGTGCTTTGTTTTCTTAGAAGCCAATAGACTCATCTAATAGGCAATTCTGAAAACCTTATAGTAACAGAAGTATGATTTGATAGATATTTTAAGGAAGTATTCAGTAATATAGCACTTGTGTATGACAAGGGAAATGGGAATAAAGCAAAAATTTAGTTTTAATTAGCAGATAAGGGCTGTTTACATTTGGCCAAATATTTTAAAATATAGGAACTATTTCCAACAGTATTTTGTAAGTTTAAATGAATTTTGCAAGGGTGTTAGCTTACATTTTAGTTTCTGGTAGTAAGAATTACTGAAGAACAAGAGACAGTTTCTAAATACTATACATACACATATGAAATGGCTATTAATAAGATCTGTGTGTCTAATTAAATTGGCAAATTTTTATTTCAGATGAATCAAAAGATACTGATTCCTTATCAGATGAAGCTACCCACAATAGTAATCAGAATAACAGCAACTGTTCCTCTCCTTCTCGAATGTCAGATTCTGTTTCCTTAAATACTGACAGTAGCCAAGATATTTCTCTCTGTTCTCCTGACAAAGAAACACATGCTGCTGTTCTATCCAAAATCAGGTTTGTAAGATACTGTAGACCAATAAGAAAATACATTAGAAAAACGTTACTTAATATTTTATATGGTGTTCCTTCCTTTAATTCATTAATTTATAATTAATTAAATATTTAAAATTTCAGTGTTTTATAATAGGGTTAATAATATTCTCTTAAGGTTTATAAAGTTCTTAAAAAAAAGAAAAACTTTCAGAGACTAGCTTTAGTATATAATACAGGGTTCTCATTTCTCTTAATAATAGGGTATAATAATTTTATCTTTTTAAGTTTTTATTCCTACAAAATACATCAGAATCCTATTTTAAAAGCTCTGTGTTTTTATTTGCTTAATTTTGAAAAACAATTTGATTGCTAACATGACCATTAAAGGTTCTTAAAAGCTGACAAAGATTGGAATTACAGGCTGTTACTCTTCTACAAATTTTAGTTAAAAAGTGCCATTTTTCATAAAAACTGCTAATACAAACAGAAACATTGTCCAAAATGGAAACTAAAAGAAATTAATAAAAAAGTAAGTTATTATCACTTTGTTCTTCTTGACACTTTTGAACTGTTTTTAATTATTATTGTTGAGTTTAAACAAACTTCTGAAACCACGTGACGTAAAAACATTGCCCAAATGAGCTCTTTATATAACACATTTCTTCAATATAAGAAAGCAAATCATAAATCTGTTTCTTTGTCCTGTTTTGTTTGCACAGCATGGTTACATATTAATAGTAATTTTTTTCTAAAATGATACCTAGACAAATACATTCATTCTTAGGAGAATTTCTTTAAGAACCATCTTTTTTTCTTCCAGGCGAGAAGATGAAAATTTGAATAATCTCTTGCAAAATGGAGGAGAATTGAGTATTACAGTAGAAGAAAAACTAAATGTGCAAGAGAAGGTTACAAATTTGTCTGAATATGAATTGAGCATTGAAGAAAGATTAGGCCTGATAGGAAAAGGTGTTGATCTAAGTACTCCTATGGAGGAATCTCAGAAATTAGACCAAATAAACATGAATATCAATAAACTTGTTAGTGAAGAGGCAGTGCCAGTTCCTGTAGAAAAGTTAGAAACACAGAAAATGGTTTCAGTAATGGGCTTTTTGAATAACAACGCAAAAGAAGAAAGTGGGCACTTTGAAAATGGAAATAAATACCGTGTAAATAAAGTAAACGGACTTGCTGAGGAAACCGTACAGTCTCCTAGTAAAGAAAAACTAGCAAAAAGCACTACAGTTGATGGGGATTCTGCTGAGCTATCTGTTTCTAGAAGCACTGAAGATTTGTCCCCTCAGAGAAGCGGTCCTGTGATGAAATCTCACAGCATCACAAGTATGGACAGTGGTGGGCTGAAAATCTATGATACTGTAAATGAGAATGGATCTCAACAACCAAACTCAGCGGTAAAATCAGGATCAGATACTGCAGATGGAAAAAACATAGTCCGAAGTAAATCTGCTACTCTTCTCTATGATCAGCCTTTACAGGTTTTTCCTGGGTCATCATCATCATCTGATTTAGTATCTTCTACAAAAACGGTGTTCAAGTTTGACTCAAATCACAATCCTGAAGGTGCTAATGTAGTGAGGGGATCAGTGACAGGCGGTGCACAGATGCTCTGTGCTCCGCAATATAATATTCAGTACAGCAGCAGTGCAGCAGCAAAAGATGCCTTATGGCCCCAGAAACAAAACACCCAAGTAGAACAGGGCACTTTACCTCCTTCACGTCTGCTTAGGTCTGACAGTACAGAAACTCCCAGTTACATAAAGCATTCCGGCAACATGAATTTTTCCAATCATAACAATGTCCGGGCCAGCGCTGTGTACAACACTCACCAGCGGATGGCTGGGAGACACGCAGATCTGTGGGCTGTTCCACCAGGTGACAGATTGCTCCCAGGAGCAACCAGGCACACGCTTCAGAGGCAGAGCAGCGTATCTTCTACAGCTTCCATAAATATTGGGGATAGTGGACCTTCAAGACGAGCCCAGGTTCCTGAAGGGGACTACTTAACATACAGAGATTTGCATTCGATGGGAAGAGCTGCAGCGGTGATGTCGGGACAGCAGAGGCCTCTCTCTGCCCGGACATACAGCATCGACGGTCCCAGCGTGGCCCGGCCACAGAGCGCGCGGCCCTCGGTCAGCGAGATCCCAGAAAGAACTATGTCAGTCAGTGACTTCAACTACTCGCGGACTAGCCCCTCCAAGAGATCAAACCCAAGGGTTAACTCCGAGCACTCCCTATTGGACCCTGCAGGAAAAACTAAAGTCCCTCATGACTGGAGGGAACAGGTGCTGCGACATATTGAGGCCAAAAAACTAGAAAAGGTAAAAACAATCATTCTATATTTTTTTCCTGCTTTTCTGTTACCTAGATGTGGAATAAGGTAAACACTCTGTTTTGAACAGCTTTTAATTACTAGTGAAAATCTAATTTTGATCCTGGTTTAAAAAGGATAAATATGTTTGTAATGAATATATGAGAAACACTCAGATGGTAGACAACTAAATGAACTTTTCCCCCAAAGAAAAAAAGAAAGGTGCTGGGTTTTTTTACATCATACTTGCCAGCTTAGCCAGACTACTTTTGAATACATTAAATAATGTCATACAGACCTGCTGGACTGCAAGGCCAGCTCAAAAAAGGTAATTTTTAAGGTAGATTTTATTGTAGCTTTGTATTCACAATTTACTAAAATATTCTCTTACACTTCTTGATCTTTCTGTTCTGCCTTTTTTTCACCCTATTTCTTCTCTTTAAGAACATGGAAAAAGAAAATCAGTAAAATGTATTTAGAAGTATAGGTCTGCAGCTTTAGTTGCTGAGGAATTCAAAAGCCATAATTATCATGTATTTGCCTCCAAGCAAGTTATCTTTTGAAGTTGGGTATCTGACAGATTGTTGAATGAATATTTATTGCTTGCTGTGAGATGAGAACACTTAAAAATCTTGTTCATTTCAGAAAAATCACAGTAGGTTTTGATATAAGTAGAGATGATGAACAGGATTCTTTATGTACTGTAAATGCCATCAAGAATTTGAGCTGATAAGTAGAGCTGAACAATTATGTATCTTCAAAGAATTTGAGTGGAGCCTGGAAGAGTGTAATCTGTCCTGCTAACCCAGTTGAAAGTATCATCACTAAAAATGGCTTGAATGTCATTTAGCCAGATCATGTTTCTTTGGAAGGGAATTAAGTATCCAAATGGCATTTTGATTGTGCCAATTAGGTGGATTTTGGTTTTTAGTTTCTTTTCTAAGAATGTAGTTTGCTTTGTAATTATTATGGTAACTACTTGAATATCTGTGATGGCTAGAGAAATTTAATTGGAGATGGTTGGAGAAATTACTTTTAACTATGATTTTTTTTCAGAAATCCCAGCATTTGGGGGGAAGGGTTTGCTTTTTGTTTTTTGGGGGGGTTTTTTGGTTGGATTTTTTGTTCAAATTGCATAAATTCTGGTGACAGAAGGGGACGGGTTTCATTTTTTATAGACACCTGCACAAAATCTGTACATATTCTTCTGATCCAGCTGGTCACCCACGACAGGAAGTGTCTTAGGGTAGTACTGTGCTGTCATGTGAGGATCCCTTGTCCCACATGAGGGTCACTAATCTCACCATGTTCCAACTCTAATAAAATGTGCATTCCGTCATTTTCCATTCTCCTGGATGGATGTATCAAATCTTACAAGAAGTGACAAGAGAAGCAAAAATACCAGCAATCCTTGAGTACAAAGGGAAGCAGAGCTTCAGTGCCCTGCTACTGCAGTTGTTTATAGCTTGTTCATTGGCAAGATAGGAACAGTGTTTAATGCAGCAGTGATATCTGTTTGGGTCTGCAGCAGTGTAGTCACCTTTACTTAAATGGCACTGACTGCCTGACTTGATTCCCTTCTGACAATATCTGACAATATTTTTCATTATGCTTTATATGTAAACTTTAATTTTTTCTACTATTCTCCTATGTGGAATAACTGCTATTAAGATTTTAGCTGTGCATTTAATTTAACAGAACTTTTAAGTCTGTTTTTTATGTTTCTTTTGTTTTGGCCTTGAAGTTTTTTAAAGCAGTCTTAACAATCTGAGACTTTTTATGGGTTTAAGGTAAATGTGTATATTGAATTGTCTACTTTATATTCTTTAGGATATAACCAACTTAAAAAGAAAAAATCTGAATTGTGGAAAATGTAGATATGATCCTATATGGCAGCTGGCAGATATGATAATGTGGAAATTCTAGCAATCAACTGAATATTTCTTAGTTCTTTTTAAATAATGGCTTTGGTATTTCTGTTTGTAATTAAAAACTACCCATGGGGTGAGGGTGCTTTATCTATAAAGCAGATTTCTGAAATGCTTTGAAATCTGAAAAAAAATCCAGTAATTAACAATCCAGTTTTAACTCATTTAAGGAACAAGTTCAGTTACAGAGCTTGTTTAAGGAACGTTTATTGGAAACTACTTTGACAAAGCTTTCATGGATTTAAAATGACACTTTTTTTTTTGAAACATAAGATGCAACACTAAAAAAATTACAAATACAAAATTAGGCATTGTAATGAATATTTCATACCTCTTTTCTTGACCAGTATAGATTAATAGTGTTACTTTTGCTGTGACTCTACTGTTATTGAATTTAATCATGTTTATCATTTGTGTCCTTAGAGATAGAAATGCTTATTAGGAAGGAGGGTGTGGTGGTGGGCTTTTGGGGATTGGTTTTGTTGGTTGTTGTTTTGTTCTGTTTTATTTTCTTTTCCTAAGCTCCTGAAAGACTTGTTAATTGTGTTTTTATAACATTTAGTATCTGAAGAGAGAGAGAGGAGTGAACCCACTTAAATTTGTCCAACAATGTCTGCTTGTTGGACAAATTGGAGAAACTAGTTCCTTATTTATTAGCTCTTTTTACCTGAAATAGGTGGGAAAAACTTTTAGGAGTTTGATTTGCTTAAGCAAAGATACAAACTAGTTTTAAGTCTAGCAAAAATTATTAACAATGGGTTCCAGCCAAGTAGCTAGCATTTGTAATACCTTTAATAAGCTGTAATGGTCACGGTGTGGGCCATTAATTTAGGAGTTGGACTTGATGATCATGATGGGTCCCTTCAAACTCAGAATATTGTGTGTTTCGGTGAAATGTAGAGAATAACTAAAATTATCCATCTGAGCGAATGAAGGTGAAAATAGTTCATGAGACCATTTTAAATAGAAATTCTGCATATATTAGAAGAAAAAATTTGCTTTCCTGGTGCAAAGCATATTTTATTGGGGGATACAGGAGCTTATTTAAATGTCAAACTGCTCTCTAGTGGTTGCATACATAAGATATTGGAAAGCATGCAGTCAATTTAGCCCTACCACCAACTTCATAAACTTTAGTGCAGAGTTTTAGAAACAGTAATATTTTTCAGCATATTTTCCTTTTTTGAGTGTGACGTACCCATTTTACTACTTAGTATGTTCCACTAGACTCTTATAGTACTCCTGTTGGCTTTTATTTAGGAATTGAAACTAAAATTCCACCTGTGTAAAAAGACTAGTGTCACACATTTGTGATAGAGAAATTTCTTATCCATAAATTGCAGTAAGAAGTATCTGCAACAGTTACCTGCAAATATGTATTACATGATCTTGCTGAGCATACAAAAGTAGTTACTGAGTCTGATTGTCCTTCCCTTGCATATGTATATTTTCCTTTTTCTGTTGCAAAACACGTGAGAGTTCATTAGATGTGTGTTTGCTTTCAATTCTAATTTCATCTGAAATTAAGTCCTCTGTTTTTTATTACTTTATCTACTACTTTCCTAATATACAGATTATCTAAAATGCATTCAGAGGAGGGATCATAGTTGAATTCCTACTTTTTTTTTCTTAGAGTCGTCAGTCTACAGTGCCTTATTATAGAAAAATGTCTAATTGTTTCAGCACTGGTATGGAATTGCAGTTTTAATTAAAGTTTGAAACTTTTTCTTCAACACATTTTTCTATGCCACATACTTAACATGCAAAAATATTTTAATTTATATGACCTCAGATCTTCTCCCCAGTTAAACTTGCTTCAATGTGTCAAGGACAGTGACTTCAGTGGGTCTGTACATACATAAAATAAAACACTTAAGTGTTCACAAGATTGTAACCTGAAGAATATTTTTACATAGTTTCATATCCTGATAAATTACAGGAGTATTATCTCTTTAGTACTTGTTAGTTTTACATTTTGATTTTAGTTATATTTATTATTTTTTTCTTTTTTGAATGGACATCTGAATCATCAATGTGTTATAATATTTTGTGGAGTTCAGAAGTCAAACCAACATGCTTTAAAAGGAATAGAATTCTTGTGTATTTGGTATGTAAACAGCAAAAGTTCTCAATCTGCAAACATTTTCTGTCAGTGGAATTTAAATTATATGTAGTTTTTCCATATGTAACTCTTCAATAGGAAGAGTCTGTTATGTGGATAGTGGGAATGAAAACTGAAGGGATTTCTAGACACTTAATATTGCCACAAAGGATTACTTATGTCCACCTTTACCCTGCAGTTGATTCTAGGTAATGTTAAATAAATCAATAAATAAAAAAGACTAATACTTAGGCTTAGCAGTTAAGTTACCAGTTTAGGCTGTTTCAAGATAAGTAGAATGTAAAGTCTTGTTCCCTGCAGATATTGAAGTTATTAGTTCCTCTTCTATGCCCAAATTTCATGGCTTGCCATTTCAGACTCCAAACAGTCCTAATATTACAATATTATTCTCCTAATAATTACAATATTACAATATTATTCTCCTATAAAAATTACAATATTATTCTCCTATAAATTCTCCTAAAAAAATTCCACTACTTATTTTCTTGCACCTAAGTAAATGCATTAAGGCATTTCAATTCCCAAATCACACCCTTTTGGAGTCTGAAATGTTAATTCTTTTGTAAGCTGCAAAAGACAGAATATATTCCAGTTTGTATCATCTAAAAAAATACAAGTAAACCCCAGAATTGTGCTACTAGCCTGCATCTAGACTGATTCAATTAGAGGCCAATTTGACTACAAATTGGAATTATTATGATGAACATACTGATTATTACTTTGTACATAGCCATTTTTTCTTGATGTATTTTTGTTCCTAGTATGGACTATTGATGGCTTAATAACTGATTTCTAGTAAAAATATATTAAATGAAATATAAATATAAATGTAATTTAAATATATTAAATTATATATATATATAAAATATATATCATTAAATGTACAGGAAAAAATATACTGAAAGATGACATGTATATTTCTTAGTGTGCATCAGTTCAGAGTAACTGAAGTAATTCTTCTCAGGCCTCCAATATTTGAATTATTATTTTGCAGGCCATTATGCCTTAAGACATGGTAGCAAACCAGATGACTAATGGAGCTGGTACTTAGAATTAACAGTCATACTTAGTGTGAAGTTTAGATCATGTATTTATTCCATATTCAATTTTTAATAATTCGTAGTGAAAATCAGGGTGGTTAATGATATTTGCATATTCAGATTTTAGAAAGTGTGCTCTCTGGTGCAGCAGTCTTCAGGAATTTTTCTCAGAAATGTACACTTTCATCATTCTCACATTGAGAAACAAAATTAACAGGAATGCTGTTCACACTCCAAATGCATCAGTTTCTCTCTTCCCAGCGAGAAATAGGTAGAGGACAAATACTCTTGTTTTGTTCCTAGGAATCTCTTCTTGTGTAAAACTAAAACTTTCTTACGTGACCATTTTAAATAGTGTTTGTTTTGTACTGTTAGTACAGCTTCTGAGTTTCTTCTCATTTATTGTTGAGGTGCTGTGCTCATGTAGAAAAGGAGAGTAATGGTGTTTGCAGTGTTCTCAACTCTTCCCTACATCAACTGCACAATCATTTCTTGTATTTGTGGAAGAAGTCTCTTTCAAGAAAAAAATATTATAAACCCTTGAGAGTTCATGGTTCTCAGATTATGCAGTCACCTTGAAAGTCACTTAATTGTAATCTCAGTTTTTGATGTACAAGTTCATACCTCTGTAAATTTTAGGAAAGTTCTCCCTCTCTGTTGCATATCTATCTTAGATTTTAAATCCAAATTTGCATTGTTACTTATCTCTTTTGTCACATAGATTGTTGCTATTTATTTTCCATCTGTTTGGCTCTGTCTGAGAGTCAACCCAGTGGATCTAGAGGACTTTACAGTACAATAGTCTGCTAGAGACATTTTGAAGAGAGAACTTTTTAGTCCCACCATGCATTCCTTCTATTTTTATCAGTCTTTTTGCCACTTACAGAGGATGGAGAGATATAGGAGCCTCTGAGAGCTTCCTGTAAGGATACTTCAAGGAATTGCCTGTAGTGGTGGGGCAAGAAGACCACCTCGTTAATTACAGACACTGTTATGAAAAGAGTAGTAAGAAGATGGCTTGAGGCACTAAGAAGCTGAGGAAAATTGACTTTGGCATTTTTGCCCGGGTGTTTAGGCTAAAACTTAAAGGAGCAGTAAGCTCAGATTGAATGTTTAGTGAATGTAAATTTAAATGCTAAGAACAGTCTTCCTCTCCCAAGAAAGGGAAAACATCTGCAGACTTGTTTGGAAGCTTGAAAAATCTATTGGCTAGAGAACAGGGAAGGTGTAAAAGAGAAACATGAAGAATGCTTACTATGTCACAACCTGAGACAGAGGTTATCCAAGAACTTCGGCCAAGATAAAACCAGTATTGTCAGTAAATACTGTTTTTCAAGGGAATTTCCAATGACTGTGCTACCAGAGCATCATCTGGGGAATATGAGTATGCAGAAGCATATGGCTTTGATTATTAAACTAGTTTTAGTTTCACAAGATGAAGCTAGGACAAAAGACCAGATGTTTGCCTAAAGACTAGTGACTATTTACAGATTCATATTAGTACACATAGTCAACAGGCAAATGCCAAAATGTGTTTATTCATGTAGGAATTGTTACAGTATCTTAGTCAATTATACCTATTTTGAACATTCCTTTTTTAACTCAGAAAAATTAAAAGCTTTACACAAAACAGCTTTGAATTTGCTGGCTTTTAATGCTTTGTGATCTATCTTTTTTCTACAATAGTATTTCTTTCATGGAATTGACACATGTTCAAGATAGCTTTGTTTTATTTATCAGGTGACCCATGGAAGGTTTTCTATTTCTTCCTTTGCACTGTCTTTTTATTTTGTTTTGTTATTACAGCTACAAAAGACCATGGTGGCAAGATGGTAATGTCTCTTGCTTTCGTTTTGTTATCCTTGCTAGTACTGCAGGGGTCAGGTTTGTAAGCTAATGAAGCTCAAACCAAAACCACTGTCACATCTGTTCTTGAGGTCACGTTACCTCTTTGATTGCCTACAGTAGCACAGGGGTAGTCTCAGTTTTGTTCAAGCCTCTTCCTTTAAATGAGACTTGTTTACATTCTTGAGTGAAGTATTACTGTAATGCACTGGATATTATCAGCGTGGTTATAGCAAGAAAATTCAGTCAGTCAAATCTCTGTAAATTTTTATTTGTACTTTACTAGTAGTGGTGTGGGGGGATGAGACAGAATAGTATGGGGTAATTAGATAGATTTCCACAGGTATTTTACTTGACTGCCAGCTTATCTTTCTATAACATACTTGTTATGTTGCAAATATAATGAAAACATGAAAATTTTGATAAGCACCTTTGTTGTTTTTTCAGACACGTGAATATTTCAATTACTTTATTTACATGTAATTCTGCATGTGAACTGCTGGTTGCATGCTGATTTACAGTAAATAAAGGTAAATAGGGTCACTGAGTTGTGTTTATACATCACAGTGGTACTGTTCTTGCATGGTTTTATCTTGCATGACAATGGAATATGTTTGTATTACATGTATAACATGTCTTGTGGTTTATGCATGCTGCACTAATCTCTGTGTTAAATCTGTCCCCTCTTTATTCAGAGCATGCTGTCTCGGTCCTTTAATTCCAATTATGCTGCAGTTAGCAGCTTTCACTATGGCAGCTCTAGGGATCTGCATGGCAGCCAGGGTAGTGTTGCCTTGAGTGTTGCAGACGGAAGAGGTTCTGGTGTGCACATTGTTCGAGTGAGTACCTACAGGAGGCTATTGCAATATATAGTGGGGGAAAGAATAAACTGTAAGGGGGTCCATAAATTGATGCAGTTATACTTTTACATATGCACAATGCTTTATTAAAAATAACATAATTTATATGCTGAAATTATTTTTTTAGGCATGAAATATTTTACCTTCATATGCTATAAACTTATTGCAGGGCTTTTCAGTTTAATGTCATGAAGTTGAGTAGTCTAACTGGCTTTGTAGGTGGTTGAACATGTGTAGAACTGTCTGATTTCATTGTACATTTGTGATCAAAAGATTACCATTCTGAATTTAACCTAGGCTGATAAGGTTTGAACAAAATCTGACTATTCTTCTTCCTCCCCCAAAATAAATTCTGATGATATAAACTGTACTGTAAGATACTATAGGCATTCAAGAAAATTTGTAGGCAGAAAATATGAGGAAATGAGTTTTTAAATAAGCACCCTGAGTGGTGTGTATGGCATCCCTAGTGGGCAGGATAAAGTCATCGGAAGACCTCCTTGAATCTTTGACTATTTAATCCCTGGTATTTGTTAATTAATTTACTGCTGATAAAAGACACTTCTGCAGTAGTAGGATTTTTAAATGCCCATCAGTATTTTATTGGGTGTATGTCTTGGTTAGTGAGATTTTCTGCACAAATAATGTCGTAGTTAATCAAAAAAGATAAAGAATGATAAAGCCCTTAAAATATTTTATCCTGAGTTTCTATTGAGAATTTTTAGTTTTTATTATATAAAGACATTTGTCTTTACCACTTCATTCTGTTTAAAGCATCCCCAGGCTTCTACTCCAGGAGATCAATGCCAGGATGAAGTATTCATTTCGGGACAGCAGAATTACTCATCTGCCACACTTAGTCTCAAAGATGTTCCTCCAGACAGCATCAAAAAACCAGCTGTGCAGGTAGTTATCTGCATGACAACATGGATAGGACATTATTTGCTTTTATTCATAAGAATATAGCAGATGATTTCTAAAAAGTAATATGAAGCTGATTAAACCTTCTAAAGAACAAACTTGAAGTGTGTTGTGATGAAATTGTGATGATAAACCAGAATTAGTTGGAAACACTTTGTATTCATCTCTAAGCACCATGTCTGGAAGTGGGTCTTACTAGCATGAAACTAAATGGATTTTTGTAAATTAATCAGCAGAAGCTGATTTTATTCTTAGACCTTCAGTAATTTCAGTTGCATTTCTACAGACAATGGGTATTGGGAACTTGCACAGCTGTGGATACATTTTACCTATAAACTCTTCCTCTGGCAACAAAAAAAGTTTTCCTGTTATACTTCAAGTTTTCAGAAAAGGCATGTATATTAAATACATATGATCTGTAAATAATAATCTGTAAATGTATTATAGACACACATTATCATTTCTCAGAATCAGTCTGACAAACTCAACAGAGCAGATTCTGATACGTGTCCATTCACATAGCATGGTTACAGGTTGAAATTTGCACACTTGTTCCTTGTAATACTGAGTGAGTATTTTAACATCCTTGTATCCCTTAACTAATGTGATAAGGGTGGCAGGCCAATCTGTTACTCAAGTGTGTAGCAATTTTGGAATCTTACAGATGAATCAGTGACTAATTAAGGTGGATAAGAGCATGAGATGCAATGGCAAGGGGGTAAAAAGGCTGCACATCTCAACACAGCTTCAGTGAGGAAACGTTGCCAGATCCAGCATCATTCCTGGTGACATGATTGGAGTGTTCTATATGTCTTGACAGTTCTGTACCTCACTGCTGCTTGTCATCATTATTCCTATCAATCAATTACATATGCATTAAGAAAAGAGTAACATTTTTTGGAAATACTACAATTTTGATATTAAAATCTTGAGCTTGGATGGGAGCTTCCTCTGGGAGTTTTCTTGTGAAGTGGTCACCATAATATGCTTGGTGAGCATGTAGTCTGCCAGCCTGAGATAGGGAGTGGGAATTTTTATTTTTGTATGATCTATTGGAAATTGTTACAAAATCTCTGAATTTTTTGTAAGAAAAGCACAGACTATAATGGCATGAATCAAGTGTCAATACCATCAATTGCACTGCTGGAAAATAATATTTGGGGAAACAGTGAAAAACAAGTGCTAAAAGCAAAGGCTGTACAATTTGTGCTAATAAATTAGCACTCAAATTAAGATTTTGTTTTTCAAATTGTTCAGTAGGTCAGAGCTGATAGCTATAAACAAAATGGATGTAATTGTACATGATCCAGAAGGGTAGTTTTAATAATGTTGCTGAAAATTAAAAGCAGTCACATATGAGAAGTATTGAATTAATGAAGCAAAATTGAGGATTGCTGCTTATAAAATATATGATCTTAATTTTTTTTTCAGATGCCTTTAACAAATGGACAAATGTGCCAGCCTCAGAGGCTTCCAGCAAACTACAGCCAAGTCCATCATCTCCCTCCTCAATCATCAGTCGCAAGACATCCATCTAGAGAGCAATTAATTGATTATCTGATGTTGAAAGTTGCCCACCAACCTCCCTATACCCAGTCCCAGTGCTCTCCCAGACAAAGCCATGAGTTTGCAAAGCAAGAGGTAAGAGTAAAATCTATCTGACAGATACATCTGTCAGTCAGAGACGTTGTTACATTCTTTTCATTTATTATCATTTCTCTGTAGATGGTGACAGAAGCAATATAGGGATTTACCTCCAGCAAAAGATCTCAGAGCAATTCTATCCCTCAGATAACACATTCCTTCCAGTTTTGAGAGAAATGTGGTAGAATTTTAACTGAACGCAGCAGAAACTTTAACTTGCATCTTTTTACTGAGCTAAAAATTAATTTGTCAACTAAATTTATTTATCTCTACTTCATTATTTAGCTAGTAACTGAAGAAAACACAAAGTCACAGTACAACTTAGAGTACTTTGCATCTGGAATGGTTTAAAAACCTGCAAGTGCAGAAATGTCTATCCCTAAGCAAAAATCCATAAAAATGTTGGAGCAATCTGATGCATACCTGATAATTATGTTTTGTTTATAATAGATATGTATATAAGAAATTCTTATACCATTTAATGACCCTTTCCTTGTGACAGCCCTCTTTCTATTCTATTGTTTGAGTTTTTTTGAGAAAATCCTGATAACTTCATTTTCATTCTGTGGTAGAATGAGAAAGTCCACTTCCTGTGTAAAATAAGTTTTTTATTCAACTTTTCTAGCAAGAGAAAGAGGGCAGTCTTGGCTATGTACCACTTACAGTCAGAGTAGGAATGAGGTTTGATTTTCAAAATTTACCTAGAGGTAGCAATGAAATAGGAGGAAGAGATTCTTTCACATAAGCATGTATATTTGCTGGGGGCATTAAAGTAACCTACTTAATATTGAAATATCTCTGAATTTAAAGTCCATGTGACTTATTATTATAATAATAGTGATATTGGAATAAAACTTAGGTACAATCTACATCATGTTATATTGCAATCTTGTTCTGCATTAATATTATGAGATGTAATAAAGGTTTTATTCACCTGAATTCCTAATAATTTCATTACAGTAGCTTTGAATATAGATTTTTCAGCCAATTAATCTTATTTTGATTGTAATTACTTAGATTCGCGTGAGAGTTGACAAGGATCCAGAACTTGGATTTAGTATATCAGGAGGAATTGGAGGGAGAGGAAATCCATTCAGACCAGAAGATGATGTAAGTATTCTATACTAATGCTTCTTGATAGCCTTCTGATCTGTGATGTTTCTCGTGTTCAGCAATGGGAGAAAAGAAAGTGTATATATATTTCCCAAACCACTACACTCCAGGACTGGAAGGGAGAAAATTGGAAAATTATGTGGAAAATCAAGGTTGTAGGTGGTCACAGTTGAATGACAGTACAGATGATTATCAATCATAAACAGATGATTATTCCAGATGAGTAGTTTTTGCAGTGGTTAATAGTTCTAGTTATCAGTTAGCAGATTTCAGATAGTGAATTTTGGAGTGCACAATTACGAATCCTCTTAAAAAAGAGATGGTGACTTAGCCTACAGCTTTATTTCTAGTAGTAGATAATTTATGTTGATATATACATGTGCCAAATTAAACCAAGATGGGTCACAATTATCTTTAAAGATAATTCTGTATTTTTAACATCAGAAAAAGGAGGCAGTTGTAAAAGTCAGAGACCTGTAGAATAGCATTGCGTTCTCTTCTACTTAGGACGGAAATTTGAAAAAAATATTTTGAATTACATCTGTTTGATGCTATCCTGTTATTCATAAATAAGTTGTCAAAAACATTCCCACATCTGTTTTTCAAGGGCATATTTGTAACCAGAGTGCAGCCAGATGGACCAGCATCTAAGCTGTTACAGCCAGGGGATAAAATAATTCAGGTAATGTACTTAATGTAATTAATGACAGTAATGACTTAATTAACTAGCCTATGTAATATACTGGTTTGGTTTCAGTTTGCACCTAAGAGCAGAATGTTTACTTTTTAGATAGATTACCTATCTTTTCCTGATTTTTTCTTTGGTATCTATTCCTGATACATTCTGGGATGAAACTTCATTTTCTGCCACCTAACACGCCAATAAGTGACTCAGATTAAAGCACAGTGAATAATTTTTTCAAATTCTGAACATTTTTCACACATCTGAAGACAAAAAAAAGTGACAAAAGATGTCATTTGAGACAGGGCATGAGCATTTCATTAGGCTATACTATCATTCAGTTGTTGCATTTGTGTTCGTTCACATGCAGTGTTGAGAACAATGGTTGTCTGAACACCAGCAGCTGCCCCTGACAGCTGCTCCCCACAGTTGCACTCTCCTGTTACATCCCTCTCCGTGGTGCAGCTCCTGCCAGCCTTTGCTGCTCTCCCCCACTGGCAGGCCAGACATGCACAAGCCCTGGCCAGAGCTGCCCCTTTGCTGCCTGGTGTCAGGCTGGTCACAGCATGCACCTCCTGGCTGCCCATCTGCTGCTGGCCAGCCAAGTCAGGCATTTCAGGAGCGATGGCTTCTGGACTGCAAGCTGTGTTGTTCTTTCTCTAAGAAGTCTGTACCTATCAGACCTTTTCTGTATTAAATTTGTTTGAAGTTGTCTTGTATAAATGAGCTCGTAAGCTGTTAGGGGAGGGGTCAGAGAAATTACCAGTATGTTTGTAGTGCCTTACTTTCTTAACCAAAATGGACTAGTGGGACATTTGAAAATTGTTCTAACTACCCTTAAATTCCTGAGCTTGTTAAAAATAGTTATTTATCGTACCATGAAAATGTTGATTGAATCAACTCTGCTGCATTTCAGTTTTCTAAAAACAGAACAAACAAAAAGCCCAAAACCAAACACCCCAACCCCCACTAGTATCTCGATTAAACCACAACATCCTGTGAACCATATTCTAAAACAACAACAAATTGAAAACTCAGCCTAGTTCTTCAAATGAAAGATAAAGCCAAAAGGCACACAAGAAAACTGAGCTGAGACTAAGTTGTTCCAGTTAAAAGATGGATTATTCTTGAGCACGATAAATAATCTCTGCTTGTCTCTCCTCACTGGGTGAGAGAGGTCCTAGTTCTCTTACTGATACAGGGATGGTGATAACCTAACACCCAGGGTTACCAACACATACATGAACAGGAAGCATGTTAAAACTTTGAAAAAACTACTAGCACATTTGTTACATATTTGTTAAGTGGAACATACCTGAAAGGTAATTTCTGTTTTGTGGTTTATTCCTGTCTTTATAAATGCCATGCAGACAAATCAAATTAGTTAATGAAGTTTTTTTTATGTTGCCACTGCTTGGGTTTTGCTTATTGTTTAATAAGGAATTCAATTTGAAAAAGAGCTCAAGAACAAGTTGCTCTTCCATGCTTAGACATTCAGAAGCCACTTTATTTCTCATAACAAAGAGTATTTTTTAATGTAACAGCATGTTCTTTTTAGCTGCGATAGTCACAGTGATGATGTAATGACAGTCCCACTCTGTCTTGAGCCACTCAGACTTCATTTTTTTAATGAATACCATCTCTTCTAAAATGCCTTTGCTATGCTTGATTTTGCAATGTTCTCTGTAAAACATTCAGTAGGCATGCATATTACAATGCATGTCTAATACATATTTTTAATAAAAATATAGTATATGATGAATGACTAGATAAATGAAAGTAAGACTTAAGACTAGGCTAGGACATTCTGTACGATTTATGATTTGGAAGGGTTTTTGCCACTTGTGCTCTCTGAACAGTCTACATAAATCTTCCTCTGCAAATCTAGAAAGATTTGAAAACCCCTGGTTTTCTAACCAAGGATTCAGCTCGTAAAACAGCAAGTGTTCAGTGATGGGATAAGAACTGTAACATTCAAAATGTCACTGCTAAGGCACAGAGAGCACATCCAGTTCTCTGTTCTCTGTCACCACACAAGCAGCTCAGGGAAAAAGATGGGATGCACAGCTGGAAGCTGTAACAGTTTAAATGGACAAATTTGTCCATTTGCAACATTTTGCTGACCAGCTTGAGCATGATCTTGCTCTGGTACACTCAGAGAAGTTGAGCCATAGCCATGTTTTCCCTGTCTGTTGTAGGCCACTTGGGCCTATCTGTGTTTGCCAAGACAAACTTGTCCAAGAATAACAATATTGTTTAGAGTCACACACAAATATACAAGTTGGAGATTATCTCAGAGTCTAACACAAAAAAAGGCTCCCAGTGCCATTAAGGTTTTTGTCACAGGACGCAATAGTTTTAATTTATCACAGATGCCATTTCTAATATTCTGATACTTAAAATAGGTTTGTGTCATTTGTAGCCCATTCAGGATTTTTTGGTGTGGCTGTATGACAGCTGATGAATTAGATGTCTGATGTTAATAGCTTAAAGTTCAGTTTTCTTTTGGTTATTTGCAATATTCTTCCAAGGCTGATATGGTAATTTAGTTTTTTGTAGCATGCAGGTACAAATTCAAGTAATCTGCAGTGTTTTATTCTCCACATTCATATAGAAATCTTAAGGCTTAAATAAATGTACATGAAGTACTTTTACTAACATGGAATAAAGACTGTCATTTTCAATTTTAAATATTTCTCTTTAGGCTAATGGATACAGCTTCATCAATATTGATCATGGACAAGCAGTGTCGTTGCTAAAGACTTTTCAGAATGCAGTGGAACTCATCATTGTGCGAGAAGTTTCTTCATAAGTACCGTGGATTGTGGGGATAAACCAACAGAATTCATTGAAGGACTATGGGGAAACTGAATATTTTGCATATTTTTATACATTAAAAGAACTCAGAATTATGATCAAAATTTGTACAGGAAATACTGAACTTGTGGTTAAAGGGGGAAAAACCACTGTGGAGAACATACAGGAAATAATTTTGGAAATGTGTATGGTGAATAAACTTGTTTTTAAGCATTATAGCAATTTAAGGATCACTCCTCCAAGAACAAACCTGTGTTGTTTTTTTGTACAGATGGTAGGTTTATTTTTGGATAATTCATACACATTACTAAACTTTGTGCAAGGCTTTGCGAAGCCTCAGTTGTAGCCAATGGACAGATGGCAGGGCTGTCTGTCCTGTAGCTGTTTATTGCCTTTATTTTTATTCACCAGATATTAATGTGTTACGCTGAACCACTTCTGTAGATACGAACGGGGATATGAAGTGTTGGCTTTGCTATGTGCACATTGTATAGATGAATGGGTAGATGGAAGGTGGTGCTGGTTGGACAGAATAAAGGTCAGGTGAAACAATTATCTGCTATCTAAATCTGGTATCAGGAGAGAAGAAAAAGTGTTTAGTTCTGGAGTGTACGTCTACCAATAGAAAATGCAATAAAAGCTTATGGTGTTTTTTTTAGGAAGACTGTAACTACAAATTTGTGATATTATACAGGATTTGTTCTTAATGTAGTCATTGAATATTCATTTTCCACATGTAATTCATGTTTAGTTGTTTTCTTGCATACATAATTTTTTCAACTGTACTGTGGAATTGTGCCCAGAGATTTTTCTCTGCTATGGAAATCCCCAATTTTGTGGAAATGGTGATAATTTTATCTTTATAAAAAAGACTCCATTTTAAGCTGACAGATTTTAAAAATGAAACTGAAATGGCCAGTTTTTAAGATTGTTGCCTGTAATATAAATTTAAACATACACAAATGATGCAGGAAAGGTTATGAAAGACATCTCGATTTTGTTTGGCCTCTGCATTGCCTTGTTAATCAAAAAGGAAACCATACGCATGGAGCTAGGTAACCAAAGCAAGTTTGCGAAACTTTGAGCAGTGATGGAGAATTGCTGTGGTGAGATGGAGAGTAAAGGGAGGGTGTACTTAAAACCCACCAGTTCGTAATGAGGTTTCTTAAAGGGCTGTTCCTACAGGTAACATTAAATGTGAACTAGACACTTCAGAGTCATTAAAGGGTTTCTAATTACATTAATATAATAGTGATTTACCACAGGCTGCCTTTGTTCCTTATTACTGTATAAAAGGTTCAATTATGCTTCTATTAATTTTGTTTACCAGAAACATTATCTTTCTCCTTTGTAATTGAATAGAGACTGCATAGTCTGCAGTGATAATTCATACACGGTTGTTATGGACCAGGGAAAAGTGCCATAGAAGACCGATAACTGTTTTTAATCAGGGCTAATAATTAGCCTGTCATTGGAGCAATATTCAATTATTGCAGTTCATTTTTAATTATGTACAAGTTGGTAGTTTGGGACAGGTATAAGCGCTTTTTTTCAACCCAAAAAGTAAATGCTTTTAATAAAGCTAGCAAAAACACCAGCTTCCTTTAGTTTTGGAACAATGAGCTGGAAGAGAAAGGAATTATACATAGCTAGCAGTAATAAACAGGCAGTACTTTTTTAATAAGTGAACTCCAATATTATTGCACTTCTTTCAAAGATGTTAACTATTGCTTATTGTACTGTGTATAGTTCTAATAATTTTAATTGAAACCCTTTAACAACTCTTTGTATATTTTAATTCTTTTTAGTTGATTTTCAGTAATATTTGCATAGAAAATGATTTTTTTGATATATTAGCAGAAATGTGCTGTATTTTGATAAAATTCACTTATTTTCTGTGTGCTGTTAATCTTAAAGAATGAGAAACATAGCTATATAATGGCAGGCTTCAGTGTTTAGTTGTTGTTTAGTTTCTATTTTTTTATTGAAAATGCAAAATGTTCACATCATGTGTTCATTACTTTTAATCATGTTATTTTTATCACACACTGCCTTTTAATGGGGATACATACAGTCAAGTCCTAAATTACCTTGGTCTTCTATAAAACCTGTATCTTTGAGAAGGGAAAAGTCCAAAAAGCAGAACTGATTCTTTACTGATCTTGGACTGACTTTGTATACATTTTGCAGTACATTTAAATATATCACTGAGAAATTATACTGTATTGTATTTTGCTTTAATGGTAACAGAAGTTTTAAATGTTGTTGTGTCACTTAATTTTCAGATTTATGTATCACAGAAAAATTCTACCAAAAACTGTTCGGCTGGTAGAACTATATAAGTAGAGATTTATAGCAAGAAGTTTAGTACTTCTTGTGGAAATACTTGGCCAAAGCTTGTCTTCCGTCTTCCGTCAGTTAGCAAATTAATTGTCTAATAAAACATGGATTATGCTGATTTTACTCACTAAATGTTTGAGTTTTCAGTGACTTGAAATGTGTTTGTTTTGTCAGTGTCAGTGTGTGAAGGTAAACATGTCAGACTAAATGATTTTGTGGGGGGTGGGAGAAAGAGGACTCCTGAACTAGTCCAGCCAGGATTCAAAGAAGCAGAGACAATATCAGCACTTTTCAGTTTGAATGCATTGTAAACTACATTTTGAATAGAATAAAATCCATCAGCAACCTGAGTTACTCAGCATGGCAGTGAATTGATGCAAACTGTGTTAATTCTTTCTATTCTTAATAGTTCATTAAAGAATCAGTTCAACTGATGTAATGAAAAGATGAAGTCTCCCACGTATTTATTATGTAAATACTTTTTTAGTTTCATTTTTGAATGAATTAAGAAAAAGTGTAAATACTTGAAATCATTCTATGAACACAGACATAGCAATAAGCAACACACAGAATCAAACATTCATTATTATTTTGGTTTTGTTTAGAAATATTCCCTTGTCAACAGCTATGTAATGTTTCTATTGATCAGCATTTATTCAACATTCCAAATTTTTGTATATAAGAATACTGTTTCTGAGGTAACACATGGAGAATAGATAATAAACTAATGCTCTTTAAAGCTGTGTGAAATTGACTTATTTAAGTTTTACAAAAAATTCTCCATAACATTATTTATTAATCTACAGTTTTTGTAGACCTCAGTACTCAATCAATATGCATTAGTAAAGTCTTATTTGTGTTCCTGGCTCTGTGCATCTCAGTGCCCACAGGTCTGTTCTAAGTGATTTCCTTGCAAGACTGGGTTCTTCACAACAAGGAAATGTTTTTGTGAATAACCCCATGTGGTGGGTAAACCTTGCCTTGATGCCAGGTGCTCACCAAACTGCTCTATCACTCCCTCTTCCCTAGCTGCACAGGAGAGAAAATAAGATGGAAAACAGCTTGCACTTTTTAAATAAGGCAGTTTACTAAAGCAAAAGAGAAAGTTTACACACATCAAGCAAAGAGAAAATAAATAATTTTATTTTCTACTTCTTATCTGCAAGTGATGTCCAGCACTTCCAGGAAGCTGGGCATCAGCACAGGCAGTGGTTGCTCTGGAATGCAAACACTGTAAAAAAACAAATGCCCCACCTTTATCCTCCTCTTCTTAGCTTTTTTATCTGAGCTGATATGATATGGCATGAAACAGACCACCCTTTGGTCTGTTCGGGTCAGCTTTGTGTCCCCTTCCAAGATCTTGCTCACCCCAGCCTACTGATGAATGTAGGGAAGACCGTGCTGGTGCTGTGCCAGTGCTGTACAGCAGAAGCCAAACACTGGTGTGTTATCAACACCTCTGTAGCTACCAGTGCAAAGCACAGCACTGTGAGGGCTGCTGTAAGGAAAATTAACTTCATCTCAGCTGGACCCAATGCATCCCAGTCTTGCAATAAAATCAGATAGGACAGTGAGTGGCTACTGTCACAAAGAGAGGACTTTAGCTGAAAGTTTACTACTTTTGATAGGCAGAGAGAAATGCCTAGGTCAGTGAGTAGGGTTAAAATTAAGAGTATGCTGAAAGCACTCTGAAGAGGTATACAAGGGTAATGTGGTAGAGAAACTAAACAGGCACAGAATTTCATAGGAGAGCTAAATTTGGTTTTACATCCAGTTTTCTTGAAAATCACAAAACAATGTGGTAACACAAATAGCTTCATCTTTTTGTCCTCTGATATACCAGTAACAGTTTCTTCCTCTTAGAGAAAACTGATTCTCACTATTAACAGGTTATGGCCCTGATGACCCTGGAGTGTTGGGCCCCTCGTTATTTAGGTTTTCTATATCTGCTCCCTATTTGGACATGATTTAATAAAAGTTTACTTTTTCATCGAGCATCTGAGAATACTAGGTCTAACTTCTGTTTTTCTGCCTGAAGGTACTTTTTCAGAGAGAAAATGTATTTTTTGGTACGGTATCACTACTGCCATGCATTATATTCAATTTTGGAATGTGTACGGAAGATTCTATTGCAATATCTATGAGATTGCCTTGAAACTGGAGCTCTGCTACACCATTAAAACTGCACTACAAGTAGGAGCCTTACATGCAGTGCTGGAAGCCACCAGTTTCCAGCTATTACCTTCCACTGTATTACCTTCCACTGCTATTCTACCTGTAGTTCTGCTAGTGACAGACTGCCCAGGTCTGCACTCTGGGGCCCAAGGCTCTTGAAGCTGTCAGGTCTGAAGAGGTCCTATCTCCCCAGGCATCCCAGGTTGCTGAGTTCCAAAATTCCTCTGCTTAGCAGCACAGGTCTTGCATGAAAGGTCATGGGTGGGCCCTAGGTGCTCCCTCTGATCCAACAAGCCTCCTCCTAGCACCAGCTGAAGGGTGGGAGGATCACCCTCTTCAACCAAGGGCAGCTGCAACAAAGGCCTCAGGCATGCTGCACCAACGGCTACTGACCACACTTGCTTCAAGCTACCAGTGTCCCCAGGCCCCAGTGGCTCCCTTGCCTTGTACCTGGCAGCAGCAGGTCTCTCATTTTCCCTCAAGTTTCTCAGACGGTTCCTATGAGCATCTGGTCTCTTCTATTGCTGTCTGAAAGCCTCATTTCAAGTACTAACAGCATCACCCTTCCTTGCAGTTCAGACCCTCTTCTCTGTGGGACTCCCTGATTTCTAGCTCTTTGCTCCCTTTTGTTTGCTGTACCTGAATATTGTCTGTGAGAATGTGACTTGTATTTCAGTTCTGCAATCTAACTATTTGAACAATTGCTTTGTATTAGGGATAAGCATTAAGTATGGAAAAAGTAGCAGCTGTTCAGCTTAAAGGAAGAGAAAATATGAAATGAGTACTAAATCTAGTGTTTTAAACTGCATTAGAAATACTGTGCTCAGGACGTTGTGCCTATGGAAAGTAATTTGCAAGTGTGGATAAGCATTACTGAGCTGTGAAAGATTCAGTTAACATATAGCTTGCAATACTTGAGTCAGGACACTTTCAGCCCCTCATATTTAGATCAATACCTGATTAAAAGCTTCAGGGGTGCACTTGGAACGTGCAAGAAAACATATGACAAGGCTGGTAAGGTTCCTGAGATGGCCAAGAGTTCCTCATGAAAAGTCATGTTGCTGAAGTAACAAAGTACTCTGCATGGGCCAATCATTAGATCATCAGGAATTAAATTTCTCATAACAGTAGTCTGCAACATCT